TGACAAACAACAAAATTACATATGTGTCCACGATGAATCCACGACTGTGTCTAAGTGTTATGGTAAACATCAGCACTGAATGCACGGTGCATTCGATGATTGATTTCAACACTTACATCTTCTAAATACTCTTACTGAATGTTAAACTTACCGGGAATCGCACTCTTCATCGATCCTTGTGACGTAGTTCCTAGGCGTGTGTATGGACATCTCCACCATTTCTCATTTTCGAATTCACTTGAATGTTTGCAATTTAATTTAGCTTAGATTATTTCTGTTAAAGCAATGTAACACAAAAAAACGTTACGTAACTGCCAAATGGTTAAATCCGATTTAAATTATTTGAATGAATTTTAAATGGTTATAACTTTGTCAATTTTTAATAGTTTTTCGCCATTCCTCGATTTTGATATCAATGTCGTTAATATCCGTCTGGGCAATTGGTGTAAAATGTAGTTGTGTTCTGTCAATCTTAACATAAAGACGTTGTGCGATAGACAAGGAATCTCTAGGTATAAAATTATGTTAAAAAATTAATGAATTATGGTTGTTTGAAATCATTATATAAATGTTTCTGTGTTATATTGTTCGTCCTTGTTGGTATGTGGCTTTTTCGAAATTTCTTGATTAGTATATACACTCCAGTTGTAATATATATCTATGTTGTAGATTGGTACAGGAAAATACAAACCAGGTAGTCCTGAAGTTTTAAATAATAACACAAACTCGTCTTGTCGATGGTGACCGCCTTATATTCCGAAGGCCCAATAGTCCGAAGGCCCGTTAGTCCGATTTGTCTTAAAATATTTACATAGTATTGCATAATTTCTATCCAACTACTTGCACTGAATTGTTTCTTTTCTGCTCATTATTCGCGCCGCTCGTGCAAGTCGGAATCCATGAAACTTTTACCGTGTAGGATTTTCTCATTTTTTTTCGCGCCATCTTCGCCGCTCATGTAAGTCGAATTCCCCCAACTGTTTACCATGTATGATTTCTTCAACATTTTTTTCGCGCCATTTCTGTTAATGTTCCCGTCGCTTACAAATGTAAGTCGCCTTTCACTTAACTTTTATAGTACAAGATAAAAGAATAGGGCCATTTTTTTCTCGCGATTTTTTGTGCCGAAACCTGTGATAAATGTTAGGAAGATTTCTGTTATTATTACTTAACTATTTTTCTCTCCAAATTTCGTCATTATTTCATTTACAGTTAATTAAGAAACAAAAATACGTAATATCATTTTCGGATTATCGGGCCTTCGGACTATTGGATCTTCGAACTATCGGGGCTTCGAACTTTTAGACCTTCGGAATATAAGGGTGTCACCCTTGTCGATATCCAGTAATAATTCTGCTTTGTTTTAGGGAATAGTATGATTGTTTTATGCGTATATTAGAGATAAAATGAATTTTAGTTTAAATGAAGTGTGGATTGAGAATATCACTTCAGGTGATCGTCTTCATCGACATCCTAAATTTACCAGCAAACGACAAACTCACTTGAAGCAGAGAAAAGGCTAATCGGAAGTTTTCAAAAAGATCATCATTATCGTAATATCCACTTCACATTTCGATGACACATTTTGACATGTCGTTATAATAAATTTCTCAGATGTCGAACATCACCATCAACCAGAAAGATGGCCGCCATCTTTGGGCGAGCGTCAGAATTCATGAGTATATCAAGGATCATGAAAATTATTCAATTTAAAAACGCTTTACATAATCATTATTTCAGAATACTGCTAGAAGCATGACTTTGAGATTATCATATTCATGTCTTTATATAATTATACAATGCAGATTTAATGATACGTCAATAGATTCGGAACCTTCGGCGGAGTCTCGACATTTCAAATAACACAACCCAAGCTCATTGCTGCTGTCACGCCGGTTTCAAATGTAAATAAATCTAACAATTAGAAGAAGAAAAATCACCACGTCTTGATTATTGTATTCCTGTACTTTAGCTAGATACAGGCCGAGAAATAAATACACCATCATATGTAACACGACCCACGCGCATTGTTGCGATATCAATTGATTTCAGGTGGTAATCATTCTGTCAAGTTTTAATTTGTATTTGTGTTATTCATATATATTTATATCATGCAGATTAACATTATACACAAATATACTTAAAAGCCTGGACGGTCCGGCATTGCAAGTAACAATCAGATCGCATAGTTCCGATTAAGTTGATGTCAATTAGTAATCGTTCTGTCAAGTTCTGATATTTTCTCATCATTTCTTAATTGTTATGTTCATGTTGTTAAATATTCTTTCATCTTGTCGTTTGTTATCATGATATCACTGATGTTGTGATACAGTTCAAAAGTCAGTCCAATCCCTGCATTGAAAATAACAGGATGTTAGCACATTGTCGCAAAATCAGTAATTTCAAATGTCTATAATTCTGTAAATTTTTAATATCTTGTCAGCATTTCTGATTTTTCATGGATTTCTTGATACGTGAATATTTATAACAGTTCGGGTGCAAATGGTATCGCAGTGAGACGATCTGAGCGCATAGTTGTAACATCATTTATTTCAAATAGCTGTAAATCCGTCAATATTGGGTAATATTTTACCATTTAAGTTACAACACTGATTTTGTCAATAAATCTACATATTATGAGACTGTTTGAATGCTTCAAATATGAAATTAAAAGCCTGGGCGGTCAATCTTGAGATCCCGGGTGGTGCCGGGCGGTACCGGTGTCATATCATATTTGCACCCCCTATCATAAAAGTACCCGTACAAATACGATATAACACCGGGCAAACGGTCACAGCGGATAGTTCCAGACTGTAATTAGTATCACCCGGGGTAGGGACGCGTAATTCTATACAACCTGTTCGAGCTTGAGTTATTGTTGGCCAACTTGACGCAAGTGAAGTATCATGGGTTTGGACGCCTATATTTTGCTTCTGAAGTGATGATATTGTCCAGGTAAGATATAAATTTACGTATGAAACTTTTGACTTTGTTGTTCTCGACATGGCGTGGTAACGATGGTAACAATATAACACTGTGGTGATATTATTTGTGTGTTAACTTGTCACACACGTTTATTCATAAGTATGTCCATGAAATTTTTGAGTATATATATATTACCAAAATCAGGTACAGGTGCCTGTGACTATTCTAATTCTTTCTAAACCTGTCATTTTACAATGTTTCAAAATCACATGTAAATCTTCCTGAATTAACTTATCAATTAACGGAGTCAGGCAGTGCCTGAAAAGAATGGAGCTTACATGCTACAAGGACATTCTCTGTTGAAAGTTTCAAGAAATAAAAAAAAAATCCATATATTTTGTGTAACTGTTAGAGGAACGAAGAAAATTTATGCATGCTACAACAAGTGATCGGTTGAGCAGTTATTGTGACATTGACGTTTTGTGTGCTTGTGTATTATATATTGTGACGTCATGATAGTTGTTGGCATGATGTGATGGGTAATTGGAGGATAAAAAGAAAATTTTCAGAAAATTTGTAGAAATGTTTTTTTTAAATGTTTAGTAAAAATCAAAAGTACATACCGGGTTTATCAGTCAAACAAATTCAGGAAGTGAAATGTTGTTACAATATTTCTTCATTAAACTCATTATCTATTGGTTAAGTGCAGAGCACCTATGCTCTATGCGTTTTACATCCAGATACTCCATGCCTTTCACTTTGGATAGAATTTTTTCAGTTTGATCAAGTCCTTGGATGTTGTCCTCGACGTGAAATGTGTTACTGGTCTTGAAGTAAAAACTCTTGCAAGCAACGTCATCTTGTTATATGTCGATGTAAACATTAAAGTTACAAATATATATATTATCAGCATTTTTGGCCTTTCATTAATTTCAGTTCTTTGATTTCAATTTTACCTTAGTAATACTAGGGAGCAAGAAAAACCGACAGACAGTATACATGAACGAAATTTATGAGAATTCCTCCATTTCTTCCTGAGAAATATAGACAAGGTGAGCTTTTCAGTCAAAATTCAAAAAGAATTTTTTATTTTATTGACGTGGCAGTCCTAAAATTTAACCTGTTCAGCCAAAAGGCCCAGATTGCTGATATTGGATTTGTAGCATGATGGGATGAAATCAAAATTTGTTTTTCTTTCAGAAATGATTAAAAACTCAGTTAGAATTACAAAAAATGTGTTAGTGTACGATGACAGCTTGATGAGATGTGGGGGGGGGGGGGGCTGCGCCAAAGATTGATCAAATTGACTGAAATTTCAAAAATCTTCTTCTCTATACCCAGATAAAGTAGAACTATATATTTTTCATGATGGAAGTGTCTTATAGTGCTTTACCAAAATTATGACCTTCATTACCCCAGGGTCTCACATTTCTGCTTGAGGAGGGGTTAAAGGGGACAATTTGATTCGACATATTGACCTCGGGTGACCCCCAGGGCTGAGGGACAGGTCAGATTGACTGATATTTTACAGATGTTCTAGGATGGAAGATTTTATATAGGAAAATTAGATTTTTTAGTTGAATTTCTTTTAATTCAAACTTGGTTAGAAACCTTAACATTGGACAACACTTAATTTTTGCACAGTTTACATTTACACTATGTACAATGTAGTTAAAGTTATCTCGTTTTTTTTTAACAAAATCATTTCTATGACATGTTACAAGAAGCAGTGTATAACTCAGGTGACTGTTAAGGCCCTTGAGCCTCTTGTTTAAGAGTGGAATTTTTAGAATTCATCTTATCAAGGGAAAAATGGAGGAAAGAAAAGAAGAAGATGCTATTTTTAAAGAACAAATAAAGGTCAGACATTGGTGGGCCACCAGATTGTCCTAGGATGTTGTTTCCTACTTTACACTACTTGTTCCAGCAACACGATGTATAGGATATAATTTAAAGTATAAAAATGTTTAATTACTAAATTATATCGTTTGATTTGTTTCAGCAATACAGCCAAACATTGTCTGCCAATTCAACCTTCCATTAAGTGATTTATGAAAGAGAAAGGACCCATCACTATGGCAGCTATCCGTTACAAGTCTATGCCATTATGGGCTATATATGCCATCGTGGGTTTTATTGTTTTATTCTTTATCTGGTACATTCATTCATCCAGAACAGATGCACCAGTTCAAACTCAGGCCGAATATAAACCAACAAAAAGAAATTTTAATGTAAAAAGAATTGTACAACAGAAGGACCCAGTGTTTGATTACAGGAAAGAAGTGGAGGCTATGAATGCTGAGAAAACAGCTATGGACGATGTGAGACTGGTTGATCTTATCCGAAATTACTTCATACAGGTTCCACCTGATGACGATACTTATAATCTTGAGGAGCCCACCAATCTACGATTCTCTCGGGGTCAGACATCCTATGTGGACCAGAGACTCCATGCAAAGGTTAGACATTCGTTGCGAACGTCAATTTTCAATCTAGTTATAATTAAGCTTTTAACATTAAATTCTTTAACCTAGCTAGAGTTGATATGTACACATATTCAAGTGAATTTGAAACTTCCATTGGGTTAGAATTAATCTGAATGTAGCACCCTCTTGCAGCGAACCTAAAATTTCAATCTGAATTTTAGCTCACCTGGTCTGAAGCTAACGTTCAAGCTAATGTCATACTGCAACGTCTGTCTTCTGTCAACTTTCCTAAAAATTCTGAAAGATTAAATGGATTTAGGTGGAATTTTGCTTTTCCCAATCCTTGCTATCCTTAAATGCCTAAATGGATTTGAACCAAATTTTGTTTTAAAACATCACCTAGCGAGGTTGGCAATTTTATCTCTGATATGAATGATTTGATTGTACCCCTGTGAAATTGCATGGCATTTATTTGAGAAAAGTCTCTAGCATTCCATCCCAGGTACCTGATAATAAATTATCAAGACCCTGAGTTTTCTGAAACTGAAGCCAAATTTACAACTTTTCAAACATACGTTGTGGTTGATTGGTGCAGTAGTAATGCACTTGGTTTGATTTTGAGAATGGACATGAACAGGTAGTGGGAAACTTGCCTGTGCACATGGGTTGTGAAAATAGGTCAAGGGCTATAAATATATATTTTATGAGGAGACTTAGTAGACTCCATCCCTAGTACTTCCTGACATCATCAGATGATGGGTTATTCAAATCACTCTGCATCCGTGATCCGTTGTCCATCCGTCGGTAAACAATTTTTGTTATTGCTATTTCCTGAGAAGTACTGGATGGATCTTTCTTAAATTGCATATGTAGGTTACCCTTGGTGCCTAGTTGTGTGCATTTAATTTTGGGTCTGATTAAAAAATCAAAATGGCTGAAAGGCAGCCATCTTGGATTTTTGCAGTAAAGTTTGTTATTGCTATTTTTTGAAGTCACTGACGGATGTCTCTCAAATTTCATGTGTAGGTTTCCCTTGGTCTCTTGTTGTGCCCATGTAATGGTGGGACTGATCAGAAAAACAAAATGGCCGACAGACAGTCATCTTGGATTTTGACTTTGCGAGATTGTTACCACTATTTCTTGAGATCTATTGTATAAATCTTTCAAATTTCATATATAGGTTCATTTTGGTCCCTAGTTGTGCCCATCTAATTTTGGGACTGATCAGAAATACAAAATGGCTGACTGGTGGCCATCTTGGATTTTTTTATTTTTATGTTTGTTATCGCTATTTCTTGAGATGTATTAGATGGATCTTTCTTAAATTTCATATGTAGATTCCTCATACTCCCCTTGTTTTGCCCACTCAATTTTGAGGCCTGAAATATGTGGAAGCTGAGATTATGAAATGTCTTACGCTGTATGAAATGGTTTTTGGATTTGCCGCAATAATACATGTAAAGGGAGATACCACCAAAACAAATCCTATTTACAAGGTGTTGAACTTTAATCTACCACATTGTTTTAAGATGTGTTTACTGGTTTTTTGTGATTGTTTTCCTTTGCTTGCCACAGGAACATCTGTTTTATGTGGAGGTAAGAGCTTTCTCAGGAGAAGCTGAATCCACCACACTGTTCTTTGAGAAGACTCGGTACTGGTCAGGACTATTAGTGGAGCCAGACCCTGTCAAATTTGATATACTAAAGAGTAAACACCGGAAAGCATACCTTCTCAATGCTTGTATCAATGACAAAGCTTATCCCACAAAGGTAAGTAACTTTGCATATGGGTATATCAAAATAAAATATTTAGGTTGTGTTGATTGGAAATGGAATTACCATCAATTGTGAAGTACAAATGAAAAGTAAGCGATACAAATGGATTATTTTATCATCCCCACGAAAACGCGTTTGCAGTTTGCCTTTGCAAGAGATTGCTATCTTGGATATCACTACTAATGTTTGTTATTGCTACTTCTTGAAAAATACTCGATGGTTCATTCTCAAATTTCAAGTCTTAGGTGACCTTAAAATTTGTTGTTTTTGTATGGCTTTTCAGATGACGCTATCCAGACCAGATGGCTCCGACATAAGCAAGCCAGGGACAGAGACATATTCTGCTCAGTGCTTTCCTCTCTATTCTGTCCTTTTGGCACTTGGCCAGAACCATGTTTCACTCCTCAGCTTAAACTTGTATGAATTTGGAAGTGAGAATCTGAGTGACCAGGATATGTTGATGTCACTTCCATTTGACAAAATAAATGTTACCTTCATAGGGATACGCAACATGTACACTAACAAAGTTCGTCAAGGACCTTTAGAATGGGCAATGGAACAGAAAGGATTTGAGTCACAGGGACGACTGCAAACAGACGACCAGTGGATTAGTGACTTTATATATCTTAATAAAGATGCCAAATTGCCACAAACGCCTTTCTGGACAAAAACAAATATTATCCGTGCTGTGATTCTGTTTCTTATTATATACGGTATACTAAATGTATTAGCCTATCGGTTTCTGTTCCCGAGACTACATCTATACAAAGTGGCGTATGGTTTGGTGTGAGATATATAGGATTTGGGATAAATAAAGAAGTGCATAGTTTTATGAGACACTGTATAGATTTGATTCAGGATTAATAAAATGACTTGTTGTTTTGTGTGAGATATACCTGGTACAAATGTATATAGATATTATTCAGGATTAATAAAGTGACTTACTGTTTTGTGAGAGAGAAACCTGATATATAGATATTACTCAGGATAAATAAAGTGACTGTTTTGTGAGAGAGATAGCTGATAAATAGATATCATTCAGGATAAATAAAGTGACTGTTTTGTGAGAGAGAAACCTGATATAATGATATTATTCAGGATAAATAAAGAGAGAGAGATAGCTGATAAATAGATATCATTCAGGATATAAAGTGGCTGTTTTGTGAGAGAGATAGCTGATATATAGATATCATTCGGGATTAATATATAAAGTGACTGTTTTGTGAGAGAGATAGCTGATAAATAGATATCATTCAGGATAAATAAAGTGGCTGTTTTGTGAGAGAGATAGCTGATATATAGATATTATTCAGGATAAATAAAGTGGCTGTTTTGTGAGAGAGAAACCTGATATATAGATATTATTCAGGATAAATAAAGTGACTGTTTTGTGAGAGAGAAACCTGATAAATAGATATTATTCAGGATAAATAAAGTGACTGTTTTGTGAGAGATAGCTGATAAATAGATATTATTCAGGATAAATAAAGTGGCTGTTTTGTGAAAGAGATATAGAGATTGTTTGTGAGATATATATAGACATGATTCAGGATCAATAAAGAGGTGTATTGATTTTTGTGAGATATTCTTTTATGAATCAAAACTTTGTTGATGCAAATTTCTTGATTTATCAAAGTTTTCATCCGGTTACCAATTTTATTCTTATTTATTACTACTAACTGACCCCTTTCTGAATTGTTTTATACATCAATGGTTTTAACTTTTTGCTACGATTCGTGGACACCTCATGATTAGATCAAAACATTTACCTGTATTTTTGTCCTGCAGCAAAATTTCACATATTTCAATGAAGAATGCGACCTGACAATGGGATTACTAATGCCCACTATCTTATGCTTTTTTTATGGGATTAATTAATGACTGGACACAGATTTAATTTTAATTGCTTACTTACAAGCCATGAAATTTAACCAAATGTAATTGGGTTTATTTTGAATTCATTAGTACCTATAAGGTTATGTATCAGTCTGCAGATAATTACTGTAACAGTTGAAGACCACTTTAACGCTGTGTCATTTCATTTAAAATTGATCCATAAAATACAAATACTGTGTGATTTGAAGGCATTGTCAATTTCTTCTTGATTTCTATTTTAAGTTTTTTTTTCATGAATGAAAAAATGTTTTAAAAAAGCAAATTTTCATTTAAATTTGTCTTGACATTTAATGTGTTTGTTAGACCTATTGTGTTGTCTACTACAGCAATGAACATGAATATGTCAACATTAAGTACCCACCTCTTGATGGTAGTGCCATGACCGTGGAAACATTTCACTGTATTTGATTCAGGATAAATAACGTGGCTTATTGTTTTATACAAGATTTATATATAGGATTGATTTTGTGTAAGATACATATGGCAGCTATGAAAGTAAGGACAAAAGAGAGAGAGGGGGAGAGAGAGCAGAAGAGAGAGAGAGCGTCTGTGGCCGTGTTATTGTAAACATGAGTGTGTAAAACTATTTCGTAGCTTTAGCACATGTTGGATTTTATGGTTTTTGGGAACTTAAATTTAAATTCTTATTTTGGAAATTTTGTGTAATTTGAAACTAATAAATGAAACATTGAAAGAAAAGTTTAGGCTGTTTATTTGTTTTGCCCACCATTTTTATGCCGTGGTGCGGCGTCCTTCGTACGGCATCAATCAACAAATGGTGGTGTATTCAAATCACCTACCGTTGGTGGTCCGTATGTCTGTGAATGATTTTTTTTATCACTATTTCTTGAGAAGTACATGATGGATCTTTCTGAAATGTCATATGTAGGTTCCCCTTGGTCTCTTGTGCCGGTCTGATTTTGGGACTGACCAGAAAACAAAATGGCTGACAGGTGGCCATCTTGGATTTTGTCTTTGCAAGTTTGTTATCGCTGTTTCTTGAGAAGTATTGGACAATTCTTTCTCAAATTTCCATTGTAGGTTCCTCTTGGTCTCTAGTTGAGCCCATTTGATTTTGGGTCTGATCAGAAAAACAAAATGGCTGACAGGACTATCTCTGATTTTGATTTAGATAGATTGTTATCGCTATTTCTTGAGAACTACAATATAGATATTTCTAAAATCTCATGTGTATGTTTCCCTTGATCCCTAGTTGTGCCTGGATGACTTTGGTACTGATCAGGAAAAAAAATGGGCCTATAGGCAGCCATCTTGGATTTGACCTTGAGAAGTTTGTTATCGCTACTTCTTAAGAAACACTGCATAAATCTTTCTCAAATTTCATGTATAGGTTCCTTTTGGTCCCAATTTGTGCCTGTCTGATTTTTGCACTGATCGAAAAAAATACAATGCCTGACAAGTAGAAATCTTGAATTTCGCATAGTAAAGATCGTTATTTCTGATTTACTGAATGAAGGCCTCAAATTTTATTCCGTTTGGTCATTGCTTGTGCTAGTTTGGGAGTGAAAAAAAAAATTGCTACCAGGCGACCATCTTGGATTTGGCAGGTAAAGATTATCATTGCTATTTCTGCAAAGGAATGTTCAAATTTCATATCGTTGAGAGCAGAGAAGAGAAAAGAAAAGAAGGAGAAAGATCCAACTTTCAAAGCATTTTTGAGCATAATTTGTCAATTCTCCATTGGAATTTGCATTACAGGCATAATATATTTAAAGATTGTACAAAAGAAACACAAGTGAAGTTGTCTTATTTTGTTATTCATAATATAAATAAAAAAATACTTTATTCATTTTCATCTGAAACTTCAAAATTAAATGTCACATCTTGTATGAAATCAAACCTAGCCATCATCTGGTCAAAGACAGAGTGTATTTTTTCAGCAGTCTCCTGGTTCACCATCACAGGGTAAATAGGACTATACACTTTCTGGCACTGCATTCCACTCAAACCTAGTTTCTTCATCTTACTCACAACACTGCTCATTTCATCTGGTGAACAAATATACTGCAAAAGATAAGAACAGAAATTTCAGGGTTAAAACAACGTTTTTTTAGCTGACTTTATCAAAGGATAACTTTCAATAGGGTATAGATATCTGGAGTGGACTGAGAAGCATGCTCTACTGATTTCAGTAGAACACAATTTCAGCTGCTGTCAGTAAAAATCAACCTAGTTTATACATCAATCCATCACTAATTGTAAATGTCTAATGATAAAACCTTCATTTTGAGTGAAAATTTCAATAATGTTTACTAGAAATTTAATACAGATACTAAAAGTTATAATACTTAATATATACTATCAATTTAAATACCACTAATGCCATGAATGAGTCCCAGAATTTCTTAAATATCCAATCAACAGATATAAAATTGCAGATTATGAAATCCATAATCATACACTGATGTTATTAATGATTAGAAAATTGAAATTTGTAAATCTATATAAGAATTCCAAATTTAAACACTCTAAATACTTTAATAAGTTTAAAAAATAGAAAAAATTGAAAATTCTTTGGCGACATATCAAATACATGGTCAATGTCTGATACATAAGCGATAAGCGGTATTTTGAGAAGAGTGAAGAAAGACAAAAGTGGTTTGCCAAACATAATGAAAAAGAATTATAAAGGTTAAAATATATTGAGCCCAACCTCTGCCACCATTGGGCATGTTTCAGACCGAATTGGGGCAGAATCCTGTCATTCCTACAGAAGAAGGATTTTGAAGAATTTGTTCTATTTCCCCTATCAGTCCCCACAGCTTCTGTTCAAGGCCGCTGAGACCCACGTCTTAAGTGACCTATTACAATCATCCTTTGTCAAGCATCATCTGTCATGCATGATAAACAATTTACATTTTCAACTTCTTCTCAATAACCAAAAGGCCCAGGGTCATGATATGAATCACCTTGACCTATTTTCACAGTCACAGGAGTGAAAATGTTTAAATGGGTGGATAATGTCCAAATTTAGGCTGAAGCATCCTCACATGAAAGAAAATCAATTTAGTACACACAGTGGATCTCTGCTCTAGTGCCATAAGGGAAGTGGAGAAAATCTTTAAAATCCTCCTTCTTCATAGGAATGTAGGATTTGATTCCAATTCTGTGTAAAGCATCCTTGGATGAATAGGAATCAATTTTGTATAAACATAGGTCTTTGTCCCCTTTGGCAGGAGTGGAGCCAGGCTAAATAGGGGAAATACAGGGAAATCTATAAAATCTCTCTTCAGCTTTAGGAATGACAGAATTCATATTTGGTCTGAAGCATTAATGGTTTCACTGACCCTTTTGGGGTAGAGGGGTTTGAGCCTTTAGAATTCCTTTTACTTTACATTGGATAAAGCATTATCAGTCAAAATCAGGTGTGAAATACAGGCCCTATGGGCCTCTTGTCAAATATCCATCTGACAGCTTTATAATTTGCACTGTTAGCACATTTACCATTCAAATATTTCAAGATTCCAGTAAAAGTTCAAAACGTTGAAGAAGCCTCAATCTAAATTTCAGTATTTACAGATGATTGTTTACACAGAAAGATGCTGATCTATATTACCTGTATAAAGTGTTTTTCATCCTCATCAGTTTCCAATGTAACATCTTCTGCCCCTGCTTCAAGTCCAATCTCTAAGTAATCATCAAGATTTATCTCCTCCTGTTTAATAGGTGGCACTGTGATGACTCCTTTATGGTCAAACTTGTAGGCCACATTAACATTGCGACCAACATTGTACCTGTAATGGAATGAGTAATGACAGTGTACCTTTTTGGTGATCTTGACAAAGAAATGGTGAAAATCAGACAAATATCTATTGGTAAATTAAGATATATTTTTAAGATGAAGGTTCTTTCTGATTTCCATTAAATGTTGTAATTGAGAGAATGTCAATCTTTTGTACAATAGTTGGTCTGGGATGTAGATACTGTTTAAAAATAACTGATGGGGACTATAGACACTGTTGTACAATAAATGGTGGGGACTATAGACACTGTAGTACAACAACTGGTGGGGACTATAGACAATGTTTTACAATAACTGGTGGGGACTATAGACACTGTTGTACAATAACTGGTGGGGACTATAGACACTGTTGTACAATAACTGGTGGGGACTACAGACACTTGTACAATAACTGGTGGGGACTATAGACACTGTTGTACAATAAATGGTGGGGACTATAGACAATGTTGTACAATAACTGGTGGGGACTATAGACACTGTTGTACAATAACTGGTGGGGACTATAGACACTGTTGTACAATAACTGGTGGGGACTATAGACACTTGTACAATAACTGGTGGGGACTATAGACACTTGTACAATAACTGGTGGGGACTATAGACACTGTAGTATAACAACTGGTGGGGACTATAGACACTGTTGTACAATAACTGGTGGGGACTATAGACAATGTTGTACAATAACTGGTGGGGACTATAGACACTGTTGTACAATAACTGATGGGGACTATAGACACTGTTGTACAACAACTGGTGGGGACTATAGAAAATGTTTTACAATAACTGGTGGGGACTATAGACACTGTTGTACAATAACTGGTGGGGACTATAGACACTGTTGTACAATAACTGGTGGGGACTACAATAACTGGTGGGGACACTTGTACAATAACTGGTGGGGACTATAGACACTGTTGTACAATAAATGGTGGGGACTATAGACAATGTTGTACAATAACTGGTGGGGACTATAGACACTGTTGTACAATAACTGGTGGGGACTATAGACACTGTTGTACAATAACTGGTGGGGACTATAGACACTGTTGTACAATAACTGGTGGGGACTATAGACACTTGTACAATAACTGGTGGGGACTATAGACACTGGTGTACAATAACTGGTGGGGACTATAGACACTGTTGTACAATAACTGGTGGGGACTATAGACACTGTTGTACAATAACTGGTGGGGACTATAGACAATGTTGTACAATAACTGGTGGGGACTATAGACACTGGTGTACAATTACTGGTGGGGACTATAGACACTGTTGTACAATAACTGGTGGGGACTATAGACAATGTTGTACAATTACTGGTGGGGACTATAGACACTGTTGTACAATTACTGGTAGGGACTATAGACTCTGTTGTACAATAACTGGTGGGGACTATAGACAATGTTGTACAATAACTGGTGGGGACTATAGACACTGTAGTTCAAAAACTGGTGGGGACTATAGACACTGTAGTACAAAAACTGGTGTGATACTGTAATACAAAAACTGGTTGGGTCACACTTCTTAAGCACATACCCTTTCTTCTTGAGTGGTCCATTTATTTGCAATGTTTCATGGTCATTTAACACCATACAATGTAACAGTACCGCAATACCATCACTGCCCTCCACTTCTAAGAGGTAAGGTTTGAGATCTGAACGTTTCTGAAAAAGAAAAAACCTACTGAGACCACTGTTGTTTTCCTACAGGTCTAATGACTCTGGTTATACTTCCCAAAACAAAGTTAGGTAGGGTATATTAGATTGTATCTGTCTGTTCTAATGTGTCTGTTTATACTTCCCACAACAAAGTTTGGTTCTGTTTATACTTCCCACAACAAAGTTAGGTAGGGTATATTAGATTCTATCTGTCTGTTCTAATGACTCTGTTTATACTTCCCACAACCAAGTTAGGCGGGGTATATTAGATTGTATCTGTCTGTTCTAATGTGTCTGTTTATACTTCCCACAACCAAGTTAGACGGGGTATATCAGATTCTATCTGTCTGTCTGTTCTAATGTGTCTGTTTATACTTCCCACAACAAAGTTAGGTTCTGTTTATATTTCCCACAACCAAGTTAGACGGGGTATATCAGATTCTATCTGTCTGTCTGTTCTAATTATTCTGTTTATACTTCCCTCAACAAAGTTAGGCGGGGTATATCAGATTCTATCTGTCTGTCTGTTCGTTCCTCCGTCTGCGGACACATTTTGTACTTTGTACTCCTCTCTGGATTTTGCATGGATTTTGATGAAACTTGGCTATGATATGTCCTTGTGTCTCTGTGAACACCATCCAGTTCCGCCAAGAGTTATGGCTCTTGTTGTGCAATGACCATTGATAGCAAGTGAAACAATATATTTCCACTGATACGTAATTTACTTTATTAGGACGTAGAGTCAACTGAAATTAAACAAGAGTCAGCTGACCAAAAGTCAAGGCCACTGAGCCAGACGTCAAGGTTAAATTTCAATTTTTATCCGAGTTGAGGAATTTTAAAGCTTCAAATTACATTTTGACAAAAATTTGTTACTGGTCATCTGACAATTAAATCCCTGATATAACAGTAGAAGTATTCGGAATAGTAGCTAAATTATCAAAACACTGCTCAGAATATTGTGGTAGTAAACACAAAGTAATGAAATGCTAAGATGTTAAAATAGCAAAAAAAAGGAGAAGGTAAAAAATTCTGCTAGTTTATATAAAAGTCTGTTTTTTACAGGTGATGTTTACTGGTCAAGTATTACAATGGCAATGATTCATTACAAAACTGCAAAGCTTTTAAACTGCAGGGTTATTTCAATGGAAACTAGAACACTGACATGTCAGCACTGGCCCCTTCCTGTGGCTATACATCCCACATCATCATCAACAACCTATCTTTCCTTATCGGTGAGGTCGACATGAGATATTTGGACTTCAAAAACAATGGAAACGAAGCAAAACATGCATTATACAAGGTAGTATGGTGTGAATCTTGTTTCTTTCCTCCACCTCATGATACTTGCTGGTGTAATGGAAATATAAATGACAGTAAAATATTCATTTGTTTTTGAAGCTTAGATATGTTTCATTTGAATCTTAAATACCCTCTCCTCTGTGAACAGCTAGCAGGAGTGATGTGTCTGGTTTAAAGATAGTACCTTCACTTTGTATTGACATACAATGTAATGTTTGTAATCAATCAATGCATTATTACACAACCTAATTACTACTTTTATAAGTAATAACCACTCTTTGATACTACAAGTAAACTTCAAACCATCTGAGGTTTCTTTTTCCCTGTAAGTAAATGTAGAAGCAGAAGACGCTTACTCTTCTGGAACACCTGGTCTTATTCTCCCTATATTTTTCAGGAATCGCCGTGTAAATCTTTTTTTGTTCATATCTTGCCCTAGTTTTATGGAATTCACAAGAATTTTGAATTTGTTTTTCCTGCCTGATATATTGTTGCTATAACAATCTCTAAGGCATTTTGACTTCTTCCGTCAGATACTGTCTGTGATATGCATTCAGCTAATGCAGTGGATCAATTAGTACATTTATTTCAAATATCTGTCTTTTCATGACCTATTTTAGATCTGTTCATAGTAATTTCTCTTGTACAACTCTATTCCACTATTATTCTGTCTGATAGCACTTGATAAATTGCTTAACACTCTTTCTCAGGAAATGGAAAGTGATGAATTTTTCAATCATATGTTCAATTTTTTCCCTTTTTTGTAGTGTTCCCAAAAACAACAAATCAATTTCTAGATTGGACTCATTTTGGTGTAAACAGACTTGATTAAAAAAATTATTACCTAACTTTGAATACCGGTCAAAGCAATTTCGTTTTGAAAACTATAGTGGGCTTTATCCAAGGAACCTACCAATGAAATATCATCATTCTAAGCCTTTTGGTTTATCAGAAGATATTGCCAGTACTTTTTGCAAACATCCCAGGAATCTAATAAACTACCAGGCAATTATCCCAATTCTAGGCCTTTAGTTACCGATAAATCATTGATGCTGGACAGACAACAGACACCACATCACAACATAACCAGCTTAAAGCTGCTCGTAAAGTGACCCAATCCCTTTTGTGAGAATGATAATCAATGTCAGTTTTTGGTATACCATGCCACAATTAAAAAACATATAAATGTATATCTATGTACTTACTAATTTGTCCAGTAATCTATTCAACACATCCTGTGGAACTCCTGCTGCCTTAGCAGCTCCCAAACATCGAGAAAGATCTGGATTAAATTTTGGATCCATTTCTTTTGTGCCTGAAAATTAATCAAATGTATTAATTATCATAATGTTGATAAGAAATGGGCATGCTGACATCTGACATTTTGTTCTTCTGACCTACCACAAACCAGAAGGGCAAAACTAGGGAGCAAGGGGAACCTGCAAGCAAAACTTGGGAAAATTCCTTCTCAAGAACTGGTGATAACAAACTTTCACTGTCAAGAAGTCTGCCCATCAGCCATTTTTTTGTTCTAATTGGTCAAAAAATTAAAACCACACAATATGGGATCATGGGAAGCTACATATGAAATCTGAAAATTAATTAGCGATAACACACTTCATTATCAAAATCCAAGAAGGCCATCTGCCAGCCATTTTGTTTTTCTGATCAGTCCCAAAATCAAACAAGCACACCTAGGGGCCAAGGGGGAACCTTCACATGAAATTTGAGATATGTGTAAAGATGAGGCTGTAACTACTGGTGGTAGTCTTTTCTCCAAAATGTGTTAACTTGAAGAAGATAATTCCTGGTTTAATTGAAAGTACATGTTTGATGTCATTTGTTATTTTATATATAGGTTAAGTTATCCTAATGTTTATTAAAATGTCATATGCAATTTAATGTCCAGTTCAATGCATGATGTCATTTGCCACTTTATATCCAGTTCAAGGTATCCTAAATTCAATTATATCATTTGCCCTTTTTTACATTTAGTTCAAGGTATCCTAAAAAGGGGATACTATGCTTGTTTTTATGCTGGAGATTAGATCATAAATTTTGGTTTTAACACGAGACAAAATCTATCCCTATTCTAAAACAGTTTCAGCCTATAAGTGATGCAATTATTACAATATCAATAATATTCTATAACAAGAAGCCCAATGTTCCTGCATCGCTCACCTGGTATTCAATGTTTAGTCAAAAACAAACTGATCTTAACAAATTCCCACAACAAACAACTTCTAATACTCAACTCTGAACAGTGACAGCTATTGCCTGGGTTTAAGGTAAATGCAATTTCTTCTTCTTTTTTTTTTTTTTTTTTTTAACATTTGTTTGGCTTTGAAAAACACTTTTCAACCAAATATCCTGCTTCTTGGGCGTTTAGTTTACCAGAAGTCTTTTATAGATTTCAACAAAGGATCTATTTAATTTCACATGGCACATGGTAATAAATGAAACATGATGGCTATGGGTCATCTTGACCCTTCAGGACAGGTGACCTAAAATTTAAAATATTTCAGGAATCAATGATAAAAAGAGGCAAATTAATAATACAAGTACTCACTATGGGCTACTCCTGTAATAATCCGGATATGGCTGGAATATAATGTTGATCGTTTATGGTCCGTGCGTCCCTTGATGTGTTTGATGTTTGACCAGCGGTTGTGTCCAGCTGTACAGATAACTGTGGTGTGAATCCTTTCTACTGTATATAAGCATGGCAACTGACCATACAATCCTGTATTTATCCCACCTATATTGTTTACAGTCTTTTCTTTGTTTATTATGCACAATCTTGATGGACTGGTTAACAAGTTATGAAAGAATAAATATTTGCTTTGCATAAAATCACGCATCTGCCTGCTACACAAGCAAGAATGCCTACCAACTACCTTATACATTATTGTCCAATTGTTTCACATTCACAGTGTCACTCATTTAGGAAGGTTCCAAATCTTTATTCACGAGATCTTCCTCTTCCTGTTAAAAGAAATTGTGATTTATAAATAAGTGTCATAAAATCAAATTACATTTATTCTAACACGTTCTGCAGGCAAGTATATTGTGATTGTGCAGTAGAAGATTGTACATGCCAGTAAACAGCACCTTTCAATGCAAATTTAGAATAAGGTAAAGAAAAAAGCCAAACAAGACGACACAGAGCTTGACATTATCCCCCGCACCCCCCCTGTTTAAAAGACATACAACCATACATATACATATATTGGACAATGTAACACAATTAACGAAGGAAAACAATATTTGACATGTGCCATGATGTGCGGGCCTCGAACTCATGATCTACAACACCCAATTAAAAGAAGACTGCCTAACTATTACACATGACAAAAGCAGCGGTTTCAATTTTGTCACAGAATACATTTATGTTGACTCATTGCGTTTCTAATTAGCTTTAACAACATGAGTTAAATGGCATTTTTATATTTAATGAATAATTAATTGATACTGATATATACAGCATCTGAAAAATATTACAAGCCTTCATCAGAAACATAACTGGTAGCTGGTGCAACACATGCAGTATCTTGTTAACATGAATTACCTAGAATGTAGACAGTATGTAATGACTGGTCATCAATACGACATCCAGCTGTGACTTTTCACACCTGTAGTATAATTATAATCCTCTACACTTGCCTCTCCGGTGCTGACCGGTTGAAACCCCTACATCTGGGTGACACTCTACACACACAAAGTGATTGTGTACCACAACACCTGACACACACTGCATTTCTAGGTAAACTTCTTTTGTACAACACAAATTATTTCAATAAATTTTTCATCTTTCAGTTTAAAAAAAAAAATCATCACTTTTCGAATATAAGACATGCATGTTCGGACTTTTGTAGCCCTAAAAAATGCAAGATGGAGTAGCCTATATTTCCTGGTCAATTTTCATTCTCTCAACAGTGCAGATGACGACAAAACCCCAGGATGCATTGATTGGTGATTTCATATTTGATGTTTGACATTTAAAAATGTGTATTAAGAAAAAATACATAAGGTGCCAATGAAATATTAACTCATAATATTTTATTGTGAATGTTTTAATTATATTTTGTTAGCATGACATGCTACAGGAAATGAAATTATCCTGGTGCACGGTCACGCAGGTCAAAATATAGTTCATCTGATATGGCTCAACAAATTGGCCATCCCTAAACACTTAACAGTCTGGAATCAATGCTGAGACGATACCCATCTATTGCAATAGATGGGTATCGTCTTATGGATGCTGGGTGATGTATTTGATCAATCTCTCCCAGAGTGTATTGCAGTACCCTAATAACAACTCTGTAAATGGCTCACACCATTCCTTGCTTCTTGTAAAATATATTTGTGTCAAATAATGAAGTATTTCATTATATGTCGTTTTGTTATTCGTATTATTATTCTGAAAATAGATATTTGCTCATCTGGAAAATGACTACTTCAGTTTGTATGGATTATTTCGATAAACTATGAGTAATCAGTCACCAACCGCGTGTTTACATTTTTTACTTTCACTTTTCAACTACCCACGTGTTCTTGAGATTGTAATTTGTCTACAATATTGGCCCATAACATGTCAGAAAGCGCAAATGATGTTTTTATGCTGATTGGTGACATACAAAACAGTCAACAGTTGCGTCCTTCGTTCATGTTGTCAGAAGTGTATTCTGACTGTAAAGGAACGACGCCCCTGGTATAGATAGGTATTTGATGTTTACCACTATGTCACCGGAGAGTGAAGTTATGAAATTCCAAAGCTTGCAGATTGTCAAACCACTAGACTCTTGTTGTATTTGATATTTACCACTATGTCACCGGAGAGTTAAATTGAGGCACGAAATTCCAACGCTTGCGGGTTGTCAAATCACCAGACTCATGTCCTTCACAAAACGTTACATGTAGCTGTGTAATGTGGCATCTATCAACGATACGATAGCTGTTCACGACTTCAGACGCAGTTTCGTATTTTCATGTGCGCGTGCCATTCCTTTCTGGAATTTAAAGGTATGTAGGACGTTAACATGTGAAAAAAAAATCCACTGAATTTTCTTTGTTTTGGGCATGAAGGTTCGTAAGAATGACCTCTTTTACTGACCAGAATATAAACGTATGTTTCAGAAAAAAACTTCGTTAAGACATACTCAAAGGAAGAGTTAACTCCCCCTGTATTTCACGAAAAACAACATCGCATTACCATCAAAAATTCTTTAAAAATATTTAGATAAAAATAAAATATACTAGCTTGTTCGCTTCTATGTGTTTTGATCAAACAATTACAAAGCTCTTGATGATTTGACTATAATCTAGATTATATTCTCAATTCTTAAACTAACATTCGTAATTATCATAATATAATAAAGCCTACAACACTCACTAACTATAATGATACAAAAAATTATCCATCGGAAAAAACGCATAATTTGTTTAAAGCTTATTAACATATGAATGTCTTTTGAAAATATGAAGACACCTTATAGACTTCGTTCTCTGTCTATGATATATCCAAAATGGACACACGGGTGGGCCAACAAATATGGGCACCCGAAAAATCATGCCAGTTGGAATATTGCTAAATGTTTCACCATAATAGCACTACCAGTCAATAATAATCGTTGTAAGTAATGATACAAGATTTGTTATAATTGATATAAAAATAAAGGTAATATGATCAAATATAGTAATTGGGTGGAAAAAATATAACATAGTTAAGGACGATAACTCCGTATGAAAAATAATGTTTAACATGCCATATCTCAAATATCGAATTTCCTTCATATTTTTCGATTAAATTTCTATTATTTTACTAATATAAATTTTCAGACAAAAACCCTGGTTTTTTTTTAATTTAAAGGTTTGGTCAAATTTTGCCCTACTTAATTTTTACTATTGGAAATATCCTAATCAAATTGAATTCTTGCAAAACAAAGATCATTCTAATAGTCACACCGACATATGAAAAAATGTTAGTTTCAGTTAGGTAGGACTATGAAAGTTTCTAAAGATTATTCTAATAGTCACACCGACATATAAAAAAAGATTATTCTAATAGTCACACCGACATATATGAAAAAAAGTTAGTTTAATAGTCACACCGACATATGAAAAAATGTTAGATAGGACTATGACGTTGTGAGTCACACCGACATATGGAAAAAAGATCATTCTAATAGTCACACCGACATATGGAACAAAGATTATTCTAATAGTCACACCGACATATGGAACAAAGATTATTCTAATAGTCACACCGACATATGGAAAAAAGATTATTCTAATAGTCACACCGACATATGGAACAAAGATTATTCTAATAGTCACAGAGTTGTGACACGACATATGGAACAAAGATTATTCTAATAGTCACACCGTCACAATGGAACAAAGATTATTCTAATAGTCACACCGACATATAAAAAAGATTAAAAAACACCGACATATAAAAAAGTTTCAGTTAATAGGACTATGAAGATTATTCTAATAGTCACACCGACATATGGAACAAAGATTATTCTAATAGTCACACCGACATATAAAAAAAGATTATTCTAATAGTCACACCGACATATGGAACAAAGATTATTCTAATAGTCACACCGACATATGGAACAAAGATCATTCTAATAGTCACACCGACATATAAAAAAAGATTATTCTAATAGTCACACCGACATATAAAAAAAGATTATTCTAATAGTCACACCGACATATGGAACAAAAATTATTCTAATAGTCACACCGACATATGAAAAAAAGTTAGTTTCAGTTAAGTAGGACTATGACGTTTTGAGTTTCAAAAGATTATTCTAATAGTCACACCGACATATGGAACAAAGATTATTCTAATAGTCACACCGACATATGGAACAAAGATTATTCTAATAGTCACACCGACATATGACATAATTATTCTAATCACACCGACATATAAAAAAAGATTATTCTAATAGTCACACCGACATATAAAAAAAGATTATTCTAATAGTCACACCGACATATAAAAAAAGATTATTCTAATAGTCACACCGACATATAAAAAAAGATTATTCTAATAGTCACACCGACATATGGAACAAAGATTATTCTAATAGTCACACCGACATATGGAAAAAAGATTATTCTAATAGTCACACCGACATATGAAAAAAAGTTAGTTTCAGTCAGGTAGGACTATGACGTTGTGAGTTTCTAAAGATTATTCTAATAGTCACACCGACATATGAAAAAAAGTTAGTTTCAGTTAGGTAGGACTATGACGTTGTGAGTTTCTAAAGATTATTCTAATAGTCACACCGACATATGAAAAAAAGTTAGTTTCAGTTAGGTAGGACTATGACGTTTTGAGTTTCTATGAAAATGTCTGTAGAAATAAACAAGTTATCGCCACGTTATTTTAACAAGGACCGTTTTTTACTATTTAAAATTGTCTCTTTTTGCCTTGTTGATAAGGACATTGACAACCTGCCATATCTGAGTGTTTCTATCATTAACAAAGTAGTCGTAAACAGCTAATGTGAATTCAAAGATTCTGGTGGGTATTTGTCATGATAATGTCATGCTTACTATTTGAAGTTTAAAAATTAATTTCTATCAATTAAAATATATTTGTGGTAGTAATACAAATGATGCTGATGATTTGAGGAAAGTACATCGTGGTTTTACTTGTCTGGCATTTTCTGTCTTAGCTCACGAATCTCGACGAAACAAACTGAGTGAATTAGAATGACGAAGAAACAGACCAGTCAACTGTAGAATTAAGGATCTAAAAGCACGATTCAAAATACTTCTACAGATATGTACCAATCTGAGTACACAATAATCTTGTTAAATTTCGATGTCTCAATCCAGCCTTGCTACCCAAACTTCGAACAACATTGCATTTGTTGTCATGTCAGAGTCAGTTTTTTTTTAAATTTGCATACACTAGTTGAAATTAAGCCGTTCAGATTCTAACTTCTTTTCCGTCTGATGTAAACTCCATTGACACCAAGATGTTAACATAGCCGGCGCGGATCGAGACATCAAATTTTAATTACATTGAGTACACAGCAGCTTATTCCTCTTCATTCCTTATGTATGAATTAAAGGCTTCGGCCACTTGGAAACCATGCTCAACAAGGACAGATCTAACACCACTCTCTTTATCCCTTCTATAAGATAAATTTAGATGATTAAGCGACAGGCCAAAATGAACAAGACGTCTAGCCACTGCCCTTGATATTATAGATTTATTTATAGCAACTGAATAAGAGCCTGCAAGTATTGCAGTGTTGAAAGGGAACTTGAAACATCCTTGACAGTACATATGCTTTGTATTTTTTTTACAAAGAGTTCATTTAAGCTTACAAGATACTGAAGAGCATCACGTGCATTGTAAGATTTCTCCAAGAATGTAGAAACTAAACGGTTACATCTTGGTGCATTCCCTTCTTATGATGATAGAGAGAGTGTGAAATAGTGTCCCTTTGTATCTGAAATCGACCAATAAGACGACCTGAGTTCGAACTCCAGACGATATAGACTTTAGTGAGGAACGCTCGAGTAGAGACGACCAGCGAGTATCGTTTCATTCATGGCAGCGGTGAGATAAGTTGTACTGGTCAATTACAGAAAATAGAATTGACACATGACTATGGCAATCAGAAACATTCATTTGGATAGTGATGAGCCCATGGAGCTCTGAAGGAGACAAACATACGACCAGATCTGATGCCGTGACGACCAGTTCCCACGGTGACAGATAGCGCCTAGTGGTGAAGTACAATTTAGATAATCATTTGTAATTGCGGGATTGGACAACTTTCCTATGCATTCATATGCACAGGAATCCAAAGTAGAACGATAAAATGACTGCGAAGGGTCGGTCATCGAGCACGTTAAGACGGCGCGCGGGGTGATGATGCAACATCAGCGGAAATCCTAGAAGGAATGCTTATGGGACGTCAATTGCCTAAATATGTGACAAATGACTCCTCTGTCCGGTTATTCGCCTCGGATCAAAACCTAGGACAGAATCCTAGTGAGATGAATACTGCTGACAGGAGATCACACTAACAGATTTCCACGGCATTTGGGCTGGGTATTTCGCACAAACAGTGTTGTTATTACGGATTCATCGGGACTGCTGGATACATGTTTACCTAGCAGAAATATACAATCAAACAGGGCTGGTTGCAATGACTCAGACGAAGAAACCGGCCTCTAACAATGGGAAAGACAATTGGGGGGATTATTTCGTTATATTCGAACTTCTCTCAGAGATGAACCGGTGGGAGTAGGAATATTCTGTTGGCAAAGTACCAAATCTTGGCTCTGCCAGGGACCGAATTTCCTCGTTCCTTTCGGGGTCATTCTGTCCTGGTAAGGTACCACCTCGACATACAGCTCTTAGAGATGGTGACTACTGAAGGAAATCTGGAGGGAATCATTCAGACCTAGCACTATTTTGAGGAAGGACAAAGTTACAGTTACAACTCATAGATAATTAAGAACTCCATCTCTAGAAAACCCAGTTATTTAAATTATATATAGTGTTAGGAACAATTTGAAATAATTCAAAACAATAAATCTATATATAAATAACAGACCGTGGTAAAATACATTAACTGTATATATATACCTTCTGCATAAGTAACAACTTACTGGCATTGTAGTATCGTCTACCACAGTGTTGATGGTCGTTGCCTTAAAATAATGATCCAAGGGTGATGATAAATTTCTCTTTGGTTTTCTTATAAAATTGATATCTGATTCCTAAGAAATTTAAGATAAAAAAACTGTAATGGAGAAAAAAACCTCTGTTGTAATAAAACTTGGTGTAACTTTGTCTCAAAGGTAGATAATTTATACAGTTGTGTATTCAGTATAGAAATTATATATGGATAATCACACAGCTTTACTGCGATAAGAACATAAGTGTAATTACATAACTGTAAACTACTTATATACACTTTTTAAGAAGTGGTCACTAGCTGGTAAATATAATATCTTTGTATAAGTGTGATAATAGTACATGTATTTATGGACATTTATTGAGAAAATCATTTCACATTAAGGAGTGAAACTGAGAGTAATGTCACATTCAGTGAAGGAATATAGTAAACTTCATAGATATACATTATCATTGTGAATATCGTTTTACAGGATGAAGTAAGACTGAGACTTGTGTCACACAAATAAAAAGATATTGTGAATAGTTATGTTATTTTAATTATTTTTAGAAACAGAATTGCAGAATTTGGTGTGCAAATTTGTTACATAATATTACAAAACATACAACAAGAACACGTGTCTGACATAGTGCAATTCATCATTACAGTCCATTGGAGAGTAATTGTTCAATCCAGATAAAACGTCCCATATAATGACACGATGTGAGTAATTAAATTAAGTGTACAACATAACTGTGGGTGGAAGATTTATCCTATCATATATAGAACCAGGAGGATCTGGATAACAGTGACTGTATATATCAGTTTTACTGCCTGGAGTAGAATCTATTTATAATTAGTTTTAAACTCATAGACCTGTACCAAGTACATCAGGTTCAGACTCTTTAACTTACATGTAGTATTGTTGATTAAAAAATCACCAAGTTTGAACCCATTTTCTCTCGTCTATAACATCCGCATTCGATCTGGAAAAGAAGATTTTAAAATAAAATTTCATACTAGGATACTATTTCACACAACAGTTTTACTAAAAGTTGAACAAAAACAAAACAAAGAAATGGTATTGTTTTCACCTCTACATGGCGAAGAAATGACTGTGAGGTGAAGCCGGTTAGCATCGAAGTAAATTAATCCTATAGGTAGGTAATGGTAGATAATAACCCACAGAAGAGGAAATTCACACCTAAGTGCACCAACAGAAAAGCTCATGCCAACTGGGTTGGAGTGGGGGGGGGGGGGGTTGTATGTGACGTCAATGGGTGAAGCGACGTTTTTAATTTTTTTATTATTAATTTTCATTTTTGTACAATTGAAATCTCTGTCGACGAGGCTTGAATAGTCGACCCAAAAGAACTGCTTCAAGACAAAACGGCAGTTGACGAACCATCTATATCTTAATTCCGAATTCCGTGATCGGATTTAAGGATTTTTTTCTTATTAACCCAGTATCGTACCATTGCATTATAATGGGAAAAAGAAACTGGCCGGAAATAAATCAGAAATCGTTGTTATCCGAGAAGTAAAATAAGCGGAAATGCCTAATTAATTTACTATATCACAAATTCCGAGGACATTAGTGGTAAAAGAACGTTGTTGTTGTTGATTTTTTTTAATTTACATTATTTTTACCGTTCAAATTTTTGAAAGTTTGGGCGTCCGAGTTTCCTGTAGATCAAACTTGTCTCCATTTTTATATTTATATTACATCTGCAGATAAAACTGAGACGATATCCTGAAATATAATAATACATTTTGATACAGAGAACTAATATTAAATTAAAGGTCTCTGTTAGCATGATTTTGATACAGGTCGTGAAACACCAGAGCCGCTTTGATTGGCTGACCCCGTGACGAAAATGGATTCTCTGACGTCACACATGCTAATCAGGAATGGCAGAAAAGAAATATGGAGGATCGGTTGAAAGAGGATACGATTCGGAGGTAAAACATAACCGTTGTCGATGAAATATGCCAAGGAATCGTCCCGGGGTACTGCCCCTACCAGAGGGATGGGAGGAATGCCATGATTACGACGGGAAAGTGTTTTTTATAGACCATTCCTCTCGGCAAACAACCTGGATAGACCCCCGAGACAGGTGAGTGTTGTCGACAAACCAAATATCAACAAACTGTGGTCGTGGTATCGGGGTTAAAGGGACTGGATTGATGTATGTGATATTTTCTGTTTTTCTGAAATGTGAACCAATACATGTAGCATCTGTTAAAAGCTTCTTACAGCTCAGAAACACCATAGAAAGTTTGAGCATAACTCGCATTCCAGCATGTGCTTTTGGTCGATGACGGAGGGGAGATAACTCGTGATTGTTATATAGGTCTACATGTCAACAATTTCGATATTGTAGCATGATGTTCATACGTGTTTGTTGTTTCGAGCTGATATATCTAAAGTAACAATACCGGCAAAACATCCTTTGTATCCACCCCAACGAAAAATACCTAAAAAATATTAACATATTTTCCCTTTAAAGCTAAATATATTCATGTAAACATGTACTTAACTTAAATATGTAGCAGGCAAGTTCAGGAGGTGAGTTTGCCACAAGAAGGCCTTCACATTGTGTAATTTTAGAAATACTTAAAAGTACTAGTCCTGAAACATGTATCTATAGACAAAATTATGGTCAATAGTCAACTCCAGAGCACATCTTCAGGTTCTATGTCCTTGATTAGTCGAGGTGTTAGGAAAGATCCACAACACCAAAATTTAAGTTCCACATGTTTTATAATTTCGAGAATTCAGTGTGATTCAAGAAAAGTATAAGTAACCAACAAATAAAAAATCAGTTAATTTAGATGTAAAACCAGTAAAAAATATAACTTACAATAAAAATAAACTAAATAGAAAAGTGAACAAAATTCATAAGCTGACAATAGGAAACTACAAGTGTAACATTAAGTAGCCCTGTGTATAGTCTCCATGGTAAAACTAGTCTCTAGATTAGTAACAAGTGAATTCCCACTCCACGCCCTGGTTTCAGAGTGTATCTGCAGCCTGCTGACTCTGGAGGAAGTTACGACATGACTGTAAACAACGGAGATGTTACTTTTGTTTTCAGAGTGTCAGTTGTCTTAATAGGCCTGATGTTACACATCTGTCACTTTGCTTTCAAAGTGTAAAAGCCTAAGTCTATTTTCCCATTGCTTTGTTTTCAAAGCGTCAGCAACTACTGCCGCAAAACCACAGAACCTCACCAAATCTGCAGGAAAAAGTATGGCTCAATACCGAAATCGATTGTAGCCATAAAATTCAGCGACTGGCTTCACCGCTGAAGCATTGACCAATCTAGGTGTGTGACATAACTTGACCATGGCTCATCTCAAAAGATGGCCGACATAACCCGAAGCAGCTGACACTATGCCAAACCAGACACATGTCCCTCTGTAAACCCTAGGCTAAATCCCCCAGACTACTACTAACATTGTGACTAAGGGTACATACACATAGTAAGAGCCAAACCCACTACAGGGTCATGAGTAATGAAACATCCAACAAACATTCCAGCAAAATTACAGACTATTTAAACTTGTAAAATACCACATATAAATATATATATTTATCTGGTTTAAAATTTTATTATTATATTTCAAATATTCTCAATGATTGTTACAACTGAATCAAGTTCAGTTTTAATTTCTGTTTTAATTATTTCATTATTATATGTATTGTTGTTGACTTCGATTTACCTGATTTAAGGGTAACTCTTTATCTTCAATTACATGTGTGTATCAACGGGGTAGAACGATCTGTAGCTTAAAATAGTAAAATATAAGCCATATTTTGGCAAGGGTTAAGGAAGACAAGAGTGGTGAAATACATTTGTCTTTCTGTCCTGAGCCAATATATTAGGTACATTTAACTGAATATTTGGAATATGCATCATAATGGGTCTGTTTTCAAAGCCTTTTCACATGATCTTAAGTTGGATACAAATACAACAACAAGTTGTAGGTTAACTGGGCCTTTTGTTCATCATGCATCGTCAGTCAACTTTTACTTTTCACGTCCAAACGGAGTCACTGGTATCAGTACCTGAAGGGACAAAATTCCTCATTCTGTGGATTTTACAAAGCGGGGCAAATACAATGAAAACATGTAATTTTAGATACATCTCCTTGAGACCAATTTCTTTGTCAAGTACTTGATTTGGTTGTGATGTCAAAGGTTTCAACAGTGGTGGTGTCCATGTATTGTTTCAGATTTACCAAGCCGCAGACATTTGCCGACTGTGTGGGAGACCAGCTTCCCTATGGATGGGAACAGTGCATTGATGAACAGCTGGGACCCTATTTCATCAACCATTTAAATCGTAAGTTATACAACAAGTATAACCAGTCTTTTCAGCTCCCATCCTTACAAGGATCAGTGAGCTTATGCAATACCTCTGCATCTGTTGACTGTTGCCCATAACCTTTTACTACAAATCACTACTGGTCATAAAGGAAAAATCTAATTTTAACCAAATTTTGTCAGAAGCATCCATTGGGAAGGAGAATCAATTTTGTATAAATGGTGGTTTCTCTGCTTCCAAATGATTTACAAATCATTTAAAATCCTTCTTCTGTAGTGTCAGTATAATTGTATGAAGGGAAATCAATTTATTGCAAGTGGTGTGTCTTGGCCCCTTTGGGAGGTAGGGATGGGGCCTGAAAGGAAACACCAAACAAATGCTGTATAGTCCCACTCCTTGTGTAGGAATGATTGAATTTTGTCATAATTTGGTCTGAAGCATCATTTGGTAATGTTGAATCAAGTTTTTATGAACAGTGTATCTTGGGGCCCTCAAGGACAGGAGAGTTGGGGACCAATAGATAGAAATAGAGCTAATTCTTTAAAATCTCACTCCTTCTGTAGAAGTGATAGATTTCCCCCAAATTTGTTCTGAAGCATCCTTTGTTGAAGGGGGTATTAAATTTGTATATATAACGTGTCTTAATTGGCCCCTAAGGTTGGAAGGGCAGGGCCCAATTTAGGGATATAGAGCAAATTCTTTAAAATCTTACTCCTCCTGAAGGAATGGTCAGATTTTGCCAAATTTAGTCTGAAGCATGCTTGGGAGAATAGGAATCAATTTTTTATATACAGTCAGTCTTTTTGCAACCTTGACCTGGTAGAGCAGTGGGGCCCAATAGGTGTAATATATCTTTAAAATCCTTCTCCTGTAGAAATGATAGGATTTGGCCCAAATGAGGTCTGAAGATTCATTGGGTGAAGAGAAGTCAGTTTTGCATAACATGCTTGCCAATTTTTTGAAATTGTCATGGGGAGAAAAGTGTGTGAATTTACTTTTTAACTTGACAAAATAATCTGTCACAAATGAAAAAACAAGAGGATAGTAATTAATGTATCTTTAATTCATATGATTAAATAAGTGTTAGAGATAATAACGTAATACTGTCACATAACAATAAAAGTTGCTGTTTTTAGGTCACCAGAGACAAAGTTTCGTGGTGACCTATATATTATGATCATATTTTGTTTGCCTTCATACATTTGTCCTGCATTTGTAAACTTTTAACATTTTTTACTTCTTTTCAAAAAGTACTACAACCAATTTCAATGAAATTTTGTAGAAACCATTGGTCTTAAGGTGCTGTACTGTAACCCCAAGGTCTTACATGTGCCACTTGGAAGGGAGTGAAGTTTACTATAGTTTTATAGGAAAATTGCATTTTTGTGTGTAACATTGTTTATTTATATTCCCCACAACGAAGTTAGAGAAGTAGAGAAAGTGTATAATCACTTTGTCCATCAGCCAGTCTGCTCTTAGGAGAGCAGCAAGGCGGGTCATTTTTTTGTACAAACTGGATATATGGGGGTTTAATTAGGTCATCCAACTTTCGACTTCTTCTCAATAACTGAAAGGCCCAGAGTGCTGATATTATAATAGAGGTTTGGCCAGATTCTAAGTATTATTTTATAAATCTCATCTACCTGGTAAATGGAAAAAACTCATGTCAAATCTTCTCTTTCTGGTAATTATCTTCATAAAAACCCAGATGCCTTTATCCATATCAGTCTCCAACTTTTTTCACTACCTTTCAGAAAGCAACCAGCTTGAGGACCCACGGGAACAATGGCGGAGCCAACAGGAAGTAATGTTAAAGGAGTATTTGGTCACTGCCCAGGAAGATCTTGCTGTAAGTTCCTCCCTCAGTCTTACCTCTCCTCTTCACACATCAAGCAATAGTTCCTGAGTCAAATCTCTCTTCCTGACACACCAAGCAGTAGTTCCTCCGTCAAATCTCTCTTCCTGACACACCAAGCACTAGTTCCTGAGTCAAATTTCTCTTCCTGACACACCAAGCAGTAGTTCCTGAGTCAAATCTCTCTTCCTGACACACCAAGCAATAGTTCCTCAGTCAAATCTCTCTTCCTGACACACCAAGCACTAGTTCCTGAGTCAAATCTCTCTTCCTGACACACCAAGCAATAGTTCCTCAGTCAAATCTTTCTTCCTGATCCTGGTCTTTACCCAAGATTGACAAATATGGATGTCCGAGACAACTTTAAAAATACATCCTACATTACACTTTTTTGATGTAATAATTATTTTGATAGACCTTACATACAAATCAAATTACCTCATCCCCATAAGGTTCACTGGGAAAATTTTAATTCTTTACACCTCTCATTAAGTCAAAGCCTGAAGGATAGGATGACAACTACAATGTTAGTTTAGCTGGACACCTAGTGTAGTATTTTGTTCAGGGTCAAGAGGTCAACTACGAAGGTCTCTGTTGCTAAAGTAGTTTTTTGGTTTTACAGATGATGACTGGAGTGAGGGATGGCCAATTAGGTTGAATCTTGATACAATGTTAGGTTAGCAGGGGACCTAGTTTGGTATTGTGTTTTCAAAATATCAGCAATGAAGATCGCTGTTGCTAAAAATTTGGATTTCCAGATTATAACTTGAGTTAGGGGCGGCCGATTTTGTTGAAACTTGATACAATGTTAATTTAGTACAAGACCTGGTATGGGATTGTGTTTGTGATCAAATGTAAAGTATGTTCAGTGTTGGTTTTCATATGAAAACTTTTAACTCATTGCTGACTGATTTGTATGAAACGTTATACAATGTAGTTTAGAGTTTATGGTCAGATTGAGAGTCTTATTGTATTCGTGTTGCTGTCATTAAAGTAAGGTCTCCGTTACTGAATTATCGTTTCACGATATCTACAGTTACAATAATGTTTATTGACAATGCCTGAAAATATACATTTATCACACACATTATTTGTTTCCATGTTAACTTCTGCAAAGAAGAAAGTGCTTCTATCAGTTATCTATTTCTGATCAATACCATTTGATACAAACATACTTCTGATAGAAATTGCCATGTACATGATATTGGGTTACATAATGGTTTAAAATAATCCCATATCATGTTCCAATCATGATCACTTAGCTACATCCCTCAGTCCTGCCTCCCCCCAACACACTAAGCTTCATCCCTCAGTCCTACCTCCCCCCAACACACTAAGCTACATCCCTCAGTCCTACCTCCTCCCAACACACTAAGCTACATCCCTCAGTCCTGCCTCCCCCCAACACACTAAGCTATATCCCTCAGTCCTGCCTCCCCCAACACACTAAGCTATATCCCTCAGTCCTGCCTCCCCCCAACACACTAAGCTATATCCCTCAGTCCTACCTCCCCCCCAACACACTAAGCTATATCCTTCAGTCCAACCTCCCCCAACACACTAAGCTATATCCCTCAGTCCTACCTCCCCCCCCCCCCCCCAACACACTAAGCTGTATCCCTCAGTCCTACCTCCTCCCAACACACTAAGCTATATCCCTCAGTCCTACCTCCTCCCAACACACTAAGCTATATCCTTCAGTCCAACCTCCCCCCAACACACTAAGCTATATCCCTCAGCCCTACCTCCCCCAACACACTAAGCTATATCCCTCAGTCCTACCACCTTCCAACACACTAAGCTATATCCCTCAGTCCTACTTCCTCCCAACACACTTAGCTATATCCTTCAGTCCAACCTCCCCCCAACACATTAAGCTATATCCCTCAGTCCAACCTTCCCTCAACACACTAAGCTTCATCCCCCAGTCCTGCCTCCCCCCAACACACTAAGTTATATCCCTCATTCCTACCTCCTCCCAACACTCTAAGCTGTATCCTTTAGCCCTACCTCTCCTCAACACACTAAGCTATATCCCTCAGTCCAACCTCCCCCAACACAATAAGCTACAGGGTTTTCCATAATTTTGTTAGTAGTAGGCTGTGTAGTGAAAGTAGGAGGCTGGCCTGCCGTGTGCGTGTAGTCGTGTATGCAACATTATTACGGAACTGAATTGGTGTAGACGGGCAAATGATCAAAGTAGTCGGTCAAATTGGCCGGCGACCGGCTCTTATGGAAAACCCTGAAGCTATATCCTTCAGTCCTTCCTCTCTCAACAAACAAACTAAATTATATTTCCACTGGTCTTTCCTCTCTCCCTCTCATTCCAAACATTCCTGATGATTTGAGATTGGATGAAAATAACAATTTGTCAAATCATTCCTGTGAATATTGTTAACTGTAGGCAAAACGAGAGATCTATACTGTCAAGGAGCAGAGATTAATGCTGGCTCAAGACGAATACCAACACCTCAATGACACACTTGCCAGCTGGAAGTCGTCCCGTTCTAGTTGTGAGTATAACAGCATCATGTTATATCATCGAGATTTTTAGTTGCCTGTTAGATCTATAAATAAGATAATTTGTATTTTAATACTTGTTAGGTCAGCTGATTGTCATTGTGCACCATTTGCTGTCAGAAATGATAGTCTGTTGTTTGCTGGCCTGATCATCACTTTTTCATTCAAATTTCTACAAGTCATAAATGACAGCTGATTTTGACCAAATTTGGTCTGAAACATTCATAATGGAGAGAAATCAGTGGTATGAAAGATGTGTTATGGGTCCCCAGGGGCCTTCAGGGAAATTTCGGAAAAAAAAGGTTTAAAATTTTCTGTATCTGGATGACATCTAAAGCATCATAATGTTAAGGGTAAACAATTTATAATGAACTGTGTGGAAGGCCCCTCTGGATTAGAGTGGTGGGCCCAGTAACCTAGGGGAAAGTCCTACTTCTTCTTTAAAGATATCAAGATTCTGATCTTTTATGGTCATAAGTATTCATGGTTAAAAGGAATCAATTCTTGTATATGAGAGTCTTGGCCATTTGGAGAAGAAGAAATGTGAAGTTTTGTCCTAATTTGATCTGAAGCATCTTTTGGTAAAGTGATGTCAACTGGGGCCCAAGAGGGGTAATTGAGCAATTACTTTTAAACTTCTATTACAGTGAAGTTTTTCAAAGCTATAAAAGAGAAGTAGTTCCTGTTGAAAATGCTTTGAATTAACTAGAGAAAAAGAAGTTGAAATACAACTTGCAATTTTCACCTAGTTAAAATATTACTTAGTACAGCTTTTCTGTTTAACCTTAAAATTTCACAGCTAAAAATGTTATAAAAATCTATATTTCAGTGAACTCTAACTCAAGTGTTGGTAGTACCAAGTATGACCCAGATCTGTTGAAAGCTGATGTTCACCATGCTAAGAATCGTGTGTCAAGACTGCGTCGAGAGCTGGAGCAGATCCGTACTGAGATGCATTACAAGGAGAAAGGAGTGGAGACTCTCACAAGGTCTGTTGAATTATGGATATACTTTTCAATAGACAGGTGATGTAAAAGGTATCTGCTAACTATCAAATGGCATACATTTGTCATGTAACAGTACAAACCCTCAGTGGAATAGGTTGGACCCAATAGGGAAAAATGGAGCAAATTCTTTAAAATCCTTCTCCCTTTTAAAAATACTGAGGCCCTGTTTGGTCTGAAGCATCCTTTACTGAAAGGAAAACTCAAGATGGGAAGTTGGGCAAATTCTTTAAAATCCTTCTTTGGTGGGAATGCCTTGTTTCTGTCCTAACTTGGTCTAAAAGCATACCTGGTTGAAAGGCTGACACAAGAGCTGCAGTTCTGAAAACTCTGTACAAGCATATTGTTCAAGATTGGTTTGATGAAATGTTAAGCTCACTTCGCCCAAAGGTTGCTTCCTGGGAAAAGAAGGCTTATGCCATGGTGCAATGTCTGTCATTCATTTGTCTGTCGGTTGCCAACTTTTCCGTTTTAGGTGGTGTAAAGAAATAACCTTCATCCATATTCAGTATCACAGGGGTTAATTTGGATTAACCAAAAGGCAAAACAGAAGCATGATATATGGCTGGTAGATTCCTGGGATGGTTCTCCACAAATTCTGCAAAAAGAAATGGTCATGACCCATATCCAATGTCACAGGTGTCAAATTTGTTAAAACCTTTAACAACTTCTTCTTGCAAACCAGAAGTACCATAAGCAGAATATCTGGTGGAAAAGTGTTTCGAGGTCAAAGCCTGACAGATTTTTAGGGGGAAAAAAGAAAAGGAGTGAAAAAGAAAAAAGGAATATCATTTCTCTTTGTTTCCGTGCTGAGTCAAAGGTTAATTTATGACTGTGTGGTGCTGAAAATATTGGTATTATGACTGACTTAATTAAAGTCAAATCTGCCACTGTTAAGGGTTAGTGTAGACCAAATTGTTTAGAATTGTTTGAATACTGATGGTGCAAGTGTTAATATATTTGTGATGAACACTGAGCATATGTTTGATGAACATTGAATATTAGCTGAGCAATGCAGGTCCATTGGGTCAAATAGGTGAAATGAAGCAATTTCAGTTAACATACCCAGTTGAGTGATACAGGCCCTAAGGACCTTTTGTAATTTGACCGTCAGGACTTGCCCAAATTTTGTCATAGCTGTAGCAGTCCTGATTTTTTGGCAACTTTTTAAGCAATGTCAAGATGATTCTCTCCATGACGTAACCTTCTCTTTGTAAGTTTTCAGGTGGAGGATTAAAGTATTTGGCTTTAGTTAAGATTCTTAAGTTATTCTCTGCTCATAAATCTCTACTGATTTACCATTTCTTTTATTTCAGTCTTTCATGTACAGCCTCTTTAAATGACCTCGGCACTTTGATGTACCTCATTAAGGAAAACTGAGGAGAATATATTGGTATCTACAGTAGTAATGTTTTACACAACCATTGAGAAAATGTTTTTCATTTGTTTATTGTAGGGTTGATGAGAAGTTGTCTGGACAGAATGGGACATACAATGTGTCACAGGCCCATGCTATTGTAGAGGAGATTAAACAGATACAGACATCGGTGTCGACTAAGGAACAAGAAAAACAGTCACTCATAGCAGTAAGGCAATAGCTGAAATTTACCTCCCAGTTTGTTTGCATATGGTGTTGTTGATTGATAAACTCACTTTTAGATACGAATTGATTGAAACATATTGTATTATCAGTAGCAGATAAGTGGATCAGAGACTAGGTCTGGCAACTTATCAACTCTTCTCCATAAGATAATCATTTTGGACAGCCAAACTTATGCTCTTGCATAGCTTCAAGCATCTGCCTGTCCATCATCCATGTAGGATCAACTTTCCCTTTAAGTCACTTATTCTCAATAACCAAGAGACTAAGAATCATGATATTTGGCCTGAAGCATATACTGAAGCTATTCAGTTTCCTTAAATTTGTGACTGATGTATTTTCAAGATCACCGATCAAATGTGTCAAGAAGCTTATGATCAGGGAACAGATATTGCTGTGTTAAATGGTTTCTAAGTTTGTTTAGATTAATGACCATGACACAATATCAAGGTCACGGGGTATAATGTCTCTTGTATAACTTCCTCACAATAACCAAACATTACAGAGTCATGCTTGTCGATGTGATGTCTTAATATTTATGTGCTTTCATTTGTTCTGATGGTCTCAATTTCAATATATCTATTCATAACTGGAGAAGATTTACATATGGTTAGCCTGCGATCATATCATATGGTTTTCTTTTGTACCATGAAATTTTATGGAATAAAAATCAAAGCTTGTGATCACTGTGAAAAGAAATGACCTTGAACCATACGGAAGATCACAGGGTCAAAGTGGTTGAAACCTTCAAAGGATTTTTCTCATAACCCAATACTTTGAGTGTCAGTGATGTGAAATATTGGTGAAAAAATTAAAGTACCAGCATTACAGGTACATTGATCCTCTTGTTTATGTATTTCATGACATTCTTTGTTATCTACATTTAATATGACAGAAATTCAACAGTACTCTACATGATTGTATGTTGCAGTCACTTGCTCGCCTCAAGGATGACTTCTTGACATCTAAAAATAGTGGATCGTCGCCGGATGTCTCCACGCTGTCGATACCTCTCAAGTCTAATACGGCCTCTCAGACAGACCTTCGAGGAGAGGTAGTATCACATTAAAGTCAATCTGTAGTTTTACTTCCTATATTGGTATTACATCGAGGAAATGGTCTGTGGATATAATATCAATATTTCAAGCTCACCTGTCCCAAAGGGCCAAATGAGCTTATGGCATTTGTGCTGTCCCTGTCCCCTGGGGTATGAGGGGCAGGGCTCAAAAGTGGAGATAGAGTAAATTCTTGAAAATCCTTTTTCTGTTGGAATTATTCAATTTTTCCTGAATTGATCTCAAACACTCTGGTATTAAATGAACTTAACTTTGTAGAATTCACCTAACTTCCTTGAGGACAAGGGGCAGGGTTTCATAGGGGAATAAATAAAAGTATTTCAAATAATTTTCCTTCAGTTTAAATTGATCAATTTGACCCAACATCACCAGGTGAGCGATACAGGCTATGAGCTTTGTTTTGAAATGGGTTTTCATGAAATAGGTTTCGATCCACTTTAAGGGCCAATGATGTGAGATGTTAAGTGAGCCCATTGGGACTCTTCTTTTGACTTTGCAGCTTGGTCCAGGCAGTAGTTCCTACATACAAGAGATTACACGATTACGCCTTCAGTACGAAGAATCCCGCAGGCGACTACTCGACCTCAAGCACCAGCTGGCTAATGTGGATGATCAAATGGTGCCAGGGCAGAATGAGTCTGATAAAGACAGGTACTATTTATAGTGACAGGGCAGAATGAGTCTGATAAAGACAGGTACTATTTATAGTGACAGGGCAGAATGAGTCTGATAAAGACAGGTACTATTTATAGTGACAGGGCAGAATGAGTCTGATAAAGACAGGTACTATTTATAGTGACAGGGCAGAATAAGTCTGATAAAGATAGGTACTATTTATAGGGACAGGGCAGAATGAGTCTGATAAAGACAGGTACTATTTATAGTGACAGGGCAGAATGAGTCTGATAAAGACAGGTACTATTTATAGTGACAGGGCAGAATGAGTCTGATAAAGAGTGGTTAGGATCAGTGGTATTAGGGCAGAAGGAGACTGATAAAGACAGGGAAGATTGAATGGTGTTAAGTGTTGACCTAATAAGGATAATTTTGTACCAAGTTAGGAATCCAGTATAACATTCATCCTGGAGAAAAATGAAAAAAACTTTGCCAATGTGAAGATGCGGTGTACAATTTTCCATGTGGAAAAACAACGTTGCTTGTGCAGGACTTCATGATGATCATTTGTACCAAGTTGGAAGTCAGTGGTACCAATGGCCTTATTGGAATTTCCAATCTGCGCTAAAGTCATCAACACTTGTAAGGGTTTTCATCAAGATCATTTGTACTAGAGTTCACAGTCCCATGAACAGATTCCAGTGGTTATTGAATATAAAGCCACATACCAAATTTGGTGAGAATCAGATGACAAATACACAAATTTTTGTGGGGAAAGTTAAAAACAGACAGATAGACGGCCATATGACTATATGATGTCTGCATCTTGATACAGGGCCCTAAATTTGGGAGGAACTTGGACAAGAACAGGTAGAGAAGGACTACTTTGTAAAACATTGAGTAATAAAGACCAGAAGGATAACTATTCTGCAAAACATAGTCAGAAAAAGAGAGATTTACCTAACAATTATTAATCTTGGACACCAGGTTTTAATCACCTTGTTCTTTTTATGAAAATTTTTTTCATGTTTTACCATGTATTTTGAATATAGATTTTGTTACAATATCAGTATTTTCATTTTCATTTAAATGGCAATAAAAATCCTTTACTTTGTTGTTTCAGACAACAACAAACTGTATATGTCTGTTTCTTATGTTCTTGTTTCTTTGTACAGGCTGATGTTGTTGCAAGAAAAGGAACAGCTACTGCGAGAGCTTAAAAGTATTGACCCGAAAGGCCGCAGTGAGGGCGAGATATGCTCAATCTATTCTCAGATTCAACAGCTTGAACAAGACCTTGTCATTGCCATAGATACCTCCAATAAACAAATAGCAGACAGGTAAAGGTTAAGGGAGATAATTTTTGTGGGGAATAAGTAAAGATCAAGTTAGGTTATTTGTTATAGGGATACAAGGGCTGATTGATAAGCTGTGAGTCTTGTATTGAAGAAACAGGGATGTCTTTTGTCAGCTGTACTATTCCTTGACTGTGTAAAGCTGTGTACCCACAGACTGGTGTCATTTGGTCCGTTTATGTTGAAGAGGTAGCAAAATTGACAAAATTACTGAGAGTGAAGTGGTTCAATATTTGCATAACGCCTAGCACCTAAGGATATCCATACTGATATGGTAGCAACACTAGATAATGATGCCTCTTCATATGCTACAGTGGAAAGGAGTGTGGTGGAATTTGAGTATGGCAGGCAGAGCCCAATTTTGGAAATACAAGTTCTTAAAAGTCCTTTTTCAATCCAAGGATATTGTCCAAGTTTGGTCTGAAGCAATTTTTATGAATTGTGAATCTGACATCTGACCACAAGGGTGGGACCCAATAGGGAGATTATATCAGAAATTGTTTGTTATATTTGAAATTCTCTATTAAATGACTGAATAGGAAAATTAGCCAGATGAGTGATGCAGGCCCCATGGGCCTCTAGTCATAAAAGTCAAGTAACTGTTAGGGCCAGTTGGCCTCTCGTCTATTATAAAATTGACCTTCAATATAATGGGAATATTTTTTCTCTAGAATTCAGCTGCAAGAACAGAAATCTTCACTGATGCAGGAATTGTCTGAAGCTACAAGGTTGACAACTTTGCTGGAGTCACAACTTCGCAGGTATATACCATGCTATATCAGTTTACTTCTACCTGTACAATATACTTTCAAGCTCGCATGGGTCAAATGTGTAAAGAAACATTTGGGAATTTTCTGAAGTCTCTTGACACTGATATTTCACCAGTAGGTAACTTCAAATTGAGTACTACAAGTGATTATATAAATGAAAAAAACTTTGTTTTAACTTCACCTCAAGTTATGGAGACATGTGGTACTGATATTTGGTCCGTAGGTACCTAGGATGGAGTGCTACAAGTGTCCTCATTTACAGGGATAAAATATGGTTGAAACTTTGATAAGATTTTCAAGTTAGGCTTTTTTTAAAAGTAAAGATCAAAAGGTCAAGGTCAAAATTTGAAACATTATGATGTGACATTATGAAGCAAAGTTGATTAGAAGATTCATTAAAAAAACTACAGGTACAGTAAATATTTTATGACTATTTACTAAAACTTCAATTTTGAGAAAATGCAGACTTCAAAGACTTAAGGCTTGTTCTATTCCTTCAGATTAAGTTTCTAGTGATGGATTTTTACCTAGTAATTGCCTGTCTTACTCGGATCTGAAATATATTTATTTCTGAGGATCCCAACACACATTTCAGATTCACTTAATATTAATTACTGTTTATTGGACTTTGTTCATAAATTGTGCTATATGTTAAAGGTTTTTGTTTTGTTCCTCATTGAGCTTTCTTGCTACATACATGTTTGATCCTGATGGTATGGAGAAGCCATGAGACTACATGTAATTCTGTTATTTCAGCCTGTCTGTGAGTACCCTGTCCAGACTACATGTAATTCTGTTATTTCAGCCTGTCTGTGAGTACCCTGTCCAGACTACATGTAATTCTGTTATTTCAGTCTGTCTGTGAGTACCCTGTCCAGACTACATGTAATTCTGTTATTTCAGCCTCTCTGTGATTACCCTGTCCAGACTACATGTAATTCTGTTATTTCAGTCTGTCTGTGAGTACCCTGTCCAGACTACATGTAATTCTGTTGTACCCTGTCCAGACTACATGTAATTCTGTTGTACCCTGTCCAGACTACATGTAATTCTGTTATTTCAGCCTGTCTGTGAGTACCCTGTCCAGACTACATGTAATTCTGTTGTTTCAGCCTGTCTGTGAGTACCCTGTCCAGACTACATGTAATTCTGATATTTCAGCCTCTCTGTGAGTACCCTGTCCAGACTACATGTAATTCTGTTATTTCAGCCTGTCTGTGAGTACCCTGTCCAGACTACATGTAATTCTGTTATTTCAGTAATTCTGTTGTACCCTGTCCAGACTACATGTAATTCTGTTATTTCAGCCTGTCTGTGAGTACCCTGTCCAGACTACATGTAATTCTGTTATTTCAGCCTGTCTGTGAGTACCCTGTCCAGACTACATGTAATTCTGTTATTTCAGCCTCTCTGTGAGTACCCTGTCCAGACTACATGTAATTCTGTTATTTCAGCCTGTCTGTGAGTACCCTGTCCAGACTACATGTAATTCTGTTATTTCAGCCTGTCTGTGAGTACCCTGTCCAGACTACATGTAATTCTGTTATTTCAGCCTGTCTGTGAGTACCCTGTCCAGACTACATGTAATTCTGTTATACCTGTGAGTACTGTCCAGACTACATGTAATTCTGTTGTATGTCTGTACCCAGACTACATGTAATTCTGTTATTTCAGAGACTACATGTAATTCTGTTATTTCAGCCTGTCTGTGAGTACCCTGTCCAGACTACATGTAATTCTGTTATTTCAGCCTGTCTGTGAGTACCCTGTCCAGACTACATGTAATTCTGTTATTTCAGCCTGTCTGTGAGTACCCTGTCCCTGTCCAGACTACATGTAATTCTGTTATTTCAGCCTGTCTGTGAGTACCCTGTCCAGACTACATGTAATTCTGTAATTTCAGCCTGACAGTGAGTACCCTGTCCAGACTACATGTACTTCCTGTCCAGACTACATGTAATTCTGTTATTTCAGCCTGTCTGTGAGTACCCTGTCCAGACTACATGTAATTCTGTTATTTCAGCCTGTCTGTGAGTACCCTGTCCAGACTACATGTAATTCTGTTATTTCAGCCTGTCTGTGAGTACCCTGTCCAGACTACATGTAATTCTGTTATTTCAGCCTGTCTGTGAGTACCCTGTCCAGACTACATGTAATTCTGTTATTTCAGCCTGTCTGTGAGTACCCTGTCCAGACTACATGTAATTCTGTTATTTCAGCCTCTCTGTGAGTACCCTGTCCAGACTACTTGTAATTTTGTTATTTCAGCCTGTCTGTGAGTACCCTGTCCAGACTACATGTAATTCTGTTATTTCAGCCTGTCTGTGAGTACCCTGTCCAGACTACATGTAATTCTGTTGTACCCTGTCCAGACTACATGTAATTCTGTTATTTCAGCATGTCTGTGAGTACCCTGTCCAGACTACATGTAATTCTGTTGTACCCTGTCCAGACTACATGTAATTCTGTTGTACCCTGTCCAGACTACATGTAATTCTGTTATTTCAGCCTCTCTGTGAGTACCCTGTCCAGACTACATGTAATTCTGTTATTTCAGCCTGTCTGTGAGTACCCTGTCCAGACTACATGTAATTCTGTTGTACCCTGTCCAGACTACATGTAATTCTGTTATTTCAGTAATTCTGTTGTACCCTGTCCAGACTACATGTAATTCTGTTATTTCAGTAATTCTGTTGTACCCTGTCCAGACTACATGTAATTCTGTTATTTCAGCCTGTCTGTGAGTACCCTGTCCAGACTACATGTAATTCTGTTATTTCAGCCTGTCTGTGAGTACCCTGTCCAGACTACATGTAATTCTGTTATTTCAGCCTGTCTGTGAGTACCCTGTCCAGACTACATGTAATTCTGTTATTTCAGCCTCTCTGTGAGTACCCTGTCCATGTCATCAGGCTCTAGTCTAGGATCCCTTGGCTCCCTTTCCTCCTGTAGCCATAGTTCCCTCACCTCACTCAGCATGGTTGATATCTACCAGCAGCAGTCGTCAGAAACCAATCTTCATGACCTTCACCGTAGGTTAGAAAAGTTGTTGAAAGGACACAGTATTTCTCCTATACACGAGAACCCACAGGCTGGGTTAGACATCACATCAGCTGCAACCCGGGGGTACATGGAGAGTATCAAGGCCAGCAATACAGAACTATCTTCATCCATGAGGTCAATATCATCACGTTCATCATTATCATCAGTTTCTCCCCCAATGTCTCCATATGATGTAGGTCCACCCCCGTCTTACCAGGACCACATCACCTCTGTGGAGAGGCAGCGCGTTGGATTCTTTGGTAATAACAGCAGCTTGAATCCAAGTACGACAAATAGTACTAATAGTACAGAAACTGAGCAATCAAAAGTAGTGTTAGATGCTCCTTATCATCAACTCAGCTCTGAAAACAGTGCAAGGACTAATCTGTTTATCGGGGCCTCTCTCAACAATAGGCCAGTACTTGGGGCAGGGGAACAACTTCTAGATCCAGCTACACAAACATCTGGACCCAAGAAGATTCCTCCTCCTCAATATCCAGATAATATGGAAGTGATGTCTAATCCGCCACTCAGTCCGATCAGTGAGAGTAGCTCAGGTGTGGGGAATAATCTGTCAGGTGGAAATACCCGAAGTGTTTCCGCTGCTGTCAGTGATGAGTCGGTGGCAGGGGACAGTGGAGTGTTTGAGGCATCGATGAACATCACTAAGAGGTTAGTATTTAATATCTTAATCTTCTCTTTTTAGGTTATAATTGAATAACTTTGCCTGATGTTGTAAGGAGATAACTGGTTAGTGATGGGACTAAGTGAGGGGATGTAGTGAAGGGACTCAGTAAGGGGACTTAGTGAAGGGACTCAGTAAGGGGACTTAGTGAAGGGACTCAGTGAGGCGACTTAGTGAAGGGACTCAGCGAGGCGACTTAGTGAAGGGACTCAGTGAGGGGACTTAGTGAAGGGACTCAGTGAGGGGACTTAGTGAAGGGACTCAGTGAGGGGACATAGTGAAGGGACTCAGTGAGGGGTCTTAGTGAAGGGACTCAGTAAGGGGACTTAGTGAAGGGACTCAGTGAGGCGACTTAGTGAAGGGACTCAGTGAGGGGACTTAGTGAAGGGACTCAGTGAGGGGACATAGTGAAGGGACTCAGTAAGGGGTCTTAGTGAAGGGACTCAGTGAGGGGACTTAGTGAAGGGACTCAGTGAGGGGACATAGTGAACGGACTCAGTAAGGGGACTTAGTGAAGGGACTCAGTGAGGGGACTTAATGAAGGGAGGTAGTGAGGGGACTTAGTGAAGGGACTCAATGAGGGAACTGATCTTTGATGGGGAAAGGAAGTAGGTTAGATAGAGGAGTGGTCAGTTGGGAAACTTATAAGTGAAGGAACTTACTAAGGAAACTTGGATGAATTGTTTAGAAGGGAACTGGTTTTTGAGGTCAAGGTCATGAGGGTGTTGGTTGGTGAGGGGAGTTGTTACAGAAAAGCTTTGGTATCATGAATGTTTCCTCAAATCTCAAGCACAAGTCTTAAGTTTGAACATAGCAAAAATTTTTTTTATCAAAGCTTGTGGTGTTTAGTGATGCTAAAGTTAACCTATGCTATCTTGTGATGAACTCTTCAGGCAGAAAGGAATGGGTTTTTTATGTGCAGCAGTTATTGGCATGAGCTTGCAACTGTACTTAAAACGGTGAATTGGAGCAGGATGATAAAGTGTTGATAGATTTTTAGGTCATTTGACCCAAAGGGTCAGAATAACATATAGCCACTGTGTTTTGTCTGTTGTCGTGTGCCATGCATAAACTTTCCATTCAAATGATTTCTTCTCAATAACCAAAAGCTTAAAGCTGCATGGTATTGGGCCTGTAGCATGATGAGATGAAGGGCTACTGAGTTTGTTAAGATGAATGACCTGGACCTGCTTTCAAGGTCAGGGGTCAAATATGTTAAAATCTTTAAATGACTATTTCCCAATAACCAAAATGCCCAAATTCCTATTATTAGGCTTGTAGCATGCTTGATTTTAGGGCTACCAAGGTTGATAATATTAATTACCTTGACTTGGAGTTAGGGCTACCAAGGTTGATAATATTAATTACCTTGACTTGGAGTTAGGGCTACCAAGGTTGATAATATTAATTACCTTGACTTGGAGTTAGGGCTACCAAGGTTGATAATATTAATTACCTTGACTTGGAGTTAGGGCTACCAAGGTTGATAATATTAATTACCTTGACTTGGAGTTAGGGCTACCAAGGTTGATAATATTAATTACCTTGACTTGGAGTTAGGGCTACCAAGGTTGATAATATTAATTACCTTGACTTGGAGTTAGGGCTACCAAGGTTGATAATATTAATTACCTTGACTTGGAGTTAGGGCTACCAAGGTTGATAATATTAATTATCTTTTTCTGTCTGTCACAGTGTTGTATATATACATATGGTCTGTCTGTTTGTTACATTTTTCAGAGAATTCTGTTGTTTCATTGTGTTTCAGGGATGTACTGGATGAGGCATTGGAGATGAATTTAGAAAGTGCTCAAATACAGATAAAACTGAGGTAATTCTGACTATTACAAAAAAGTTTATGATATGTAACACGATACTAACTTGTGATACTTTCGGATTGTGATGATAACTTTAGTGATGTTAAAAGGAAGAAAAGTTAAATTTTATTGTCAGATTAAAATCTTAAGATTAGAGTCAGTAACTTGATATTCCTGTTACTAGAATGAAAAGCACAAGAAATTGGTATAAACCTGATAGACTAGAAACAATCAACATGATGCATTTCTTTTTTTGTTTAAAATTCAAAAAGTCAAACAAAATTTGAAAAATAGTAGGTTGTTTACAAAACAAAACTTTCGCTATTAATTTGACAAGTCATAATACAGCGGGATGACGGAATGATCATGATATGAAACTCAAAATCTATCAGTATGTTGTGATATTTGTTAATTATTACAGCATAATTAGTTATCATTGGAAGTTAATCATTATGGAAGAAAAGGATTTTTAGATCACCTGGCCTGAATGTGCCCTTTTGCCCAAGGATGCTTCAGACTAAAATTTGGACAAATGTTGTCATTCCTAGGGTCTCACAATTCCCCTTTGGGAGGGAGTAAAGTTCACTACAGGAAAAATAGATTTTGAGCATAATTTAGAAATATTTCAAACTGGGTTAGAAGTATGAGTGAAGGATGATGGCTTGATGGTATGCGCCTATTGCTCTTGGCTGTCCCCAAGGGGCTGATGGGCAGGGCCGAAAGGGATCAAATTGACTCAAGATCAAAAATCTTCTTCTCAACACCCAGTTATTGCAGGATCAAACGCTCTTTGTGATTTGAAGGGTATTAGGTGCTTTGCCAAATTTTGAATTTCATCACTCAAAGGCCAAACATTTCTCCCTGGGGAGGAGGTGAATTTTCTTAAAATTTTATATAAATATTGTATTTTCTGTTCCCTTTTTGGCACCCCAGTGGGTCAGATTCACCATTTACAAAGTATCAAGTCATCATGGAAATAACTGTATAATTCTGTTTGTTATGTGTAGATATGATCACGTTGATGGCAGTTTGGTGGTGGTACTGGAACAGGCCCGAAATCTATCAGCATTAGCTTTCTCTGCAGGAAGCAAAGTGTAAGTTGATACTATTGTAGAGACAGGAGGTAGACATTTTCTCTCTGTCTGATCTCAGCATAACAGATCTTCTCAATTCTCAATTCATCTCATAAACAATTGTTCTGAACAGATCTCAAAATCAATTGTTCTGAACAGATAACAAAATTAATTGTTCTGAACAGATAACAAACACAGTTATTCTTAATTGATCTTTGTGATTAAGGAATCATTGAAAATTATTGCTTTTTATATGAAATAGATATATAAAGGCTGCCCTTCTACCCCAAAACATGGACCTGATGTGGGAAACACAGCCATCTTCTGACCTCAAACATCCTTCCTTCTGTCAGGCATTCCGAACAAAAGTTGCTAAATCAAAACTACAGAACAAAACACTGCAGGTTCATGTGTGGAGCCTGCATCAGGAACTTGGCAAAGAGTGTCTGGTAAGTCATGAATAAAACAAACACCTTTAAGTTATGTCCTCAAAAAATACCGCCAACCAATGTTATCATTTCTGTTATAGAAACCACCAACCAGTATTATTGTCAGTCTAAAGGTTTTGACCTCAATCTCAACCTATTTTCAGGGTCATAGGCCTAGAACTTAAATAATCTTTTGAATATCCTGAATACCCAAAGGTACTCTTCCGTTGTAGGTTTTTGAAGTATTTTTTACCAGATTTGGTTTTGAGTTTATCCTTAGGGGAATAGAACTTATTTTTTTGTAAATTAAGGGCCTAGGCTCCTTTTAGAGGTGACCTGGGTATGGGAAATAAAGGTACATGTAAGTGTTTGGAATCATTCTTTTCTGCTTGTATATAGATGTTCTTCATCTGTTGGGAAAAACTTGGCAGTATCATTGTGAATAAAAATCTTTTTATAAGAAAGTTGGAATATTCAGGTGAGTGATGAAGGCCCTTTTTGCCTCTTGTCATTAAAGCATTTACCAATATTTTGTGATTAACAATAATATTTTACTGACAGAATTAAGAGTTTTTTTTTTTTTTTTAAATAGGGATGTGCACAAGTAAGCCTGGCTGACTTTGATGCCAGCATCTCGTCCATACGGTGGTACAATGTACTCAGTTTCAAGTTTATGCAGTCAGATTCCACCACCAGTAAGCCTCTTCTGGACAGTCAAAAGGACGATAAGAGTTCTGCACCATCAGAAAAATCATCCTTGCCTTCTTCAAACAACTTTCCACCGATTTCATCATCACAACAGGTATAGTATTGACTTTGTGACCAATCATCACAACAGGTATAGTATTGACTTTGTGAGCCATTATCACAACAGGTATAGTATTGACTTTGTGACTCATCATCACAACAGGTATAATTATTGCATCTGTGAATTTGATACCACCCCCTGCTCGAGGGCGGAGCTCGACGGGACGAGAGCAACCCCGGCAGGAATGCCTAAAACACCCAAGGGTTCAGAACCGGAGGCGGAAGACTTAGAAGGCTTACTTCCCCCTACCGGAAGAAGAGGATGAATCCCTCTTCCGGCGGGATATTCGCCAGACAGGCATGGGAGCCTTGGCAGTAGACTCTGTGTGCAAACAAAGTTCACACGACAAAGTCTGGCTGCAAGGCAGGCAAAGGGGACAGACATCATGGGGGTTCCATTCTCCGTAGAAATGGGAACACCCATGTGCTGACTCCCGACATAACCCGGCACTATCCATCGTTGAAACAATACTCTGTATAGGTATTCTACTGTGGAGGCACTACTATTATAACAAGATGACAAATGGCACTGTTTGCGCTCTGTCCTTAAGTCCAAACTTGTAATGATGATAAGATAAAGTATTGTCAGACTTCTTACATCCAGAATTTGTCTATCATGGTTTGTTATAGCAGTTTCTTTAAGTTTCTAGAAATGTTATATTTTGTGTAATTAAGAGCAAAACCAAAGGAGAGCAGAAAAGAAAAGGAAAAGATCCAACTTAAAAACAAAGATTAAACAATGGTTGGTGCCAAGATCCCTCTGAGAGATAGATGTATTGTTCAATTAACTTTTATTACTTAAAGACGCATTTGAATTTCATAACAGAACTATATGCTCTTCATTAACTCTGACAAGAATTTGAGTACTACTTCAAAATGTTCTGTGATTTCAGACGGAACCTCTTGATAAAGTGAAGCAACTACTGGAGGCTTCATCAGCACGATTACAAAGAACAGTAGAGGACCGTGCCATGGATAGTACCCGTGACAACAGGTAAAGTCAAATAATATAGTGGGGCAAGCTATAAAGTCTTTTTTTCATCCCTCCATGCACATGCAACATGCTCAAGACTTCTCATGCTCTAAATTTCTGAAATTCACCCTGTTAACATCAGCTGGAATTTATCAGAGATGGTCCTGATTAAGTGTTTTTATTTTTATGCTCCCCAAGGTCTGAGAGTGTTACCATGGAAACACATTGTAGGCTTCTGATTGGTCAAAAACAAGATAGTATCTGAGTTTGCTGAAAATAGGTTTAGGGGGATGACAAATACAATAATACCATTTGGATTCGTGGTGACCAAATGAATGCCTCTTGAAGGAATGACTATTGTTGACTGGGGAGAGTGTGGGGTGTATTATTCAGCCATCCTGGCGACAGTTCTAGTTTTACATGAGGTTGATACAGGCCATGTTTACCTCTTGCTTTTGTAGTCACTTCAGAAATACTCATCCTACTGTAGCTTCATTAAAGGAGGAAAGCAGTGACGAGTCGACCATCATATCATCACAGACATCTACACTGACAAGAAATCAGGGTAAGTCCAACAACACCACATGGACGTCAGATAATGTCCTACTACATCTCTCGCACATCTGTTCTGATGAGAAATCGATCGAGGTCCAATATCACCTTATAGACATCTTATCTCACAAGACATCAGCTAGGTACAGTGTCATCTTATACACATCTTATCTCACGAGACATCAGCTAGGTCCAGTGTCCTCTTATAGACATCTACTCTCTCAAGACATCAGCTAGGTCCAATGTCATCTTATAGACATCTTATCTCACGAGACATCAGCTAGGTCCAATGTCATCTTATTGACGTCTACTCTCTCAAGAGACTAGGTCTAATAACATCCGATTAAGATTAACTCTTATAAAAAATCATACTGGATCCAATGCCATCCCACACTTAATCTTGTGAAAAATCAGGCTAGGACCAAGGACATCTCGTGCACATTTACTCAAGTGAGAAATCAAGTTAAGGATATTTGTATTAAGACATTGTTGCTTGAAATAAGTTTCTATGTCAAGGTTAAAATCATGAGATTGAATTCAAAGACTCACAGAATTTTTGGGGTAATTATCTACAGTATAAGACTATGGGTAGAACTTCAGAAAGAGAGAAGGAATTATAAGTAGTTTGTCCTGAATTAAATTTTCTTAATGGTTTTGAAGTTTAGTAATTTGACAATATTCATTGCTTTAGGTCCGGAAGACATGGAGTATCACACAGGATTCTCTATGGGGCCTGACGAGGATGAAGAAGAGGAAGTAGTGAGTACTCTTACAGCATTTTTTTTTTCTGATCAAAGTCTGAAGTGACCTATCGCCTTTTATTTGCTGATTAAAAATTTGTGTTATTTTACAGGACTATGATGATCTACATATCCAAGGAATACTCAGCCAGTATGAGCAGAGGGTTGACAGTGAGAACTCTGACCAGGAAGATCTGGTGACCACCTGTGACAAGGAGACCAATACTGATGGTATATATGCCACAGCCCAGCCAACCATCAAGTATCGCCCTTCCCTGCCATGTGTGGCCAGTTCTCGCAGCAGCACAATTCGCCGCTCCCAAACCTTCTCCCCGGCTTGTAGGCCAGGCAATAGCTATGTCTGCAAGGTAAATATAGTAAATAAGGATATGATTACAAGTATCTCCTGTAGTAAATTAGGTATGGCCTGGAGTGAAAGAAACCTCTGTGTAGTATCATTCAGTCAAGGATATCGGTCTTAGTGATGACAAGGTCACCGTTACTATAAACAGAAATCAACTTTTTATGTTACTACTCCACAGAATGCATTCCTGAACTGATTGGTATGAGACTCCTCACACATGATCACAAGCATCTCTTGTAGAAAGGTTCAACTTCCAACTTTGTGTAGTCAAAAACTAGGTCACTATTACTATGAAAAGAAAATAACAAAACCTTTTATGGCTTTGCTCTACTGACTGCATTTCTAAACTGAATAGTACAAAAGTTCACATATATAATCACAAACATTACTGGTACAATTTTGACTTCCGACCTTGTGCAGACAAATACTAGGTCATTATTTATAGAAACTAACAAAATTTTCACATCATTGCTCTGAAGACTCCATTGCTTCTCCGCTTTATACCAAACTTCACACATGAGTTCACAAATTTCACCTTTAATGTCCTTCTGGTGGTGAGCTTCATGTCCTTCTGGTGGTGAGCTTTATGATGCTCTTCATTATACTGTTGAAACTTGTCTCAAAATCACTTGAGTCGAAATATTTCCAAGTCACAATGTTTTTCCAGCTAAACTCTGTAATTTTAGTTCAGATGACTCAAATTTCATTGAGTCGTTCTCTCGAAACTAATTTTTGTCAAAACATTGGCACAATTTCTGGCAAAATCAGTCCATACATACACAGAGAATAATGTCACCAGTGCATAAAACGTGGCTGATTACAGCATATCTGTCCATAGAGCACACAACATTTAATCTCAGGTGGTTAATTACTAGTTTAATTATCCAATTAAAAATTTGCTTCTTAATTAGTGTCGCCATCCTGTAGCAGTGACTTACCTGTATGTTAAACAAGTATCGCAATTACACAAGACATGAAAACATTTAGCTTGGTTACATGCATCTTAAGAAATGATAAAAACTAAACCTTCAAACCAGTACAAACGTTTTGACAAAATCTGCACAATTTTGAGAGAAACTGATTTTTGAGCCTGTTTACTAAAGGACTAAAACAGGTAAACACTTTGTAGTGACACGTTTTTCATGTTTATTTATTCATAATAAAGTAATCTTAATATGATCTGTAGCTTTATACATTGTGTCTGGTTTGGATGAATAAACAGTAAAAGGAGAAAGTAGAAATTTGTTTCTGTTTATAATTATTGACTGCCATTTCAAATAATAGATTAAATGTTTATACCACGGTATACTGTGCTGTCCTAGCCCTACTTCGTTTGAACCACAATCAATGTCAGGAAACTGATATCGTCAGCCTAATTTGGACACTTTGTTTAAATAGAAATTCAGATAAGTCAAAATATTTTCAATGATCCCTTGAATTTCAAGATAAGGAGTTTAGACTGTAGTGACATGCCTGTATGTTTGGTGGTATGTGGTTGTGTGAGAGGATGTGTGTGCATGTGTGTATAAGATATTACTTGAACAAAGCACTGCAGAACCTTTCGTTTTCCTAAAAAGTAACTATTTGACTTTTTTTAGCTGAATCGCAGTGACAGTGATAGTTCAATGCCTCACTTTAAAAAAGGGCCCTTCCAGAGACACTCTGCAGAACGCCGCAGCTTGAGGTGGAAAAGGGTATGTATTTTAGATAAATTACCACATCATTGTGTACTGTTAGAAATAATGCCCTTTCTGTACATTGTAGGACTGAACACAAATGGGACTTGTAGAATATTATAAGTTTCTGTACATTGTAGGACTGAACACAAATGGGACTTGTAGAACATTATAAGTTTCTGAACATTGTAGGACTGAACACAAATGGGACTTGTAGAACATTATAAGTTTCTGTACATTGTAGGACTGAACACAAATGGGACTTGTAGAACATTATAAGTTTCTGTACATTGTAGGACTGAACACAAATGGGACTTGTAGAACATTATAAGTTTCTGTACATTGTAGGACTGAACACAAATGGGACTTGTAGAACATTATAAGTTTCTGTACATTGTAGGACTGAACACAAATGGGACTTGTAGAACATTATAAGTTTCTGTACATTGTAGGACTGAACACAAATGGGACTTGTAGAATATTATAAGTTTCTGTACATTGTAGGACTGAACACAAATGGGACTTGTAGAACATTATAAGTTTCTGTACATTGTAGGACTGAACACAAATGGGACTTGTAGAATATTATAAGTTTCTGTACATTGTAGGACTGAACACAAATGGGACTTGTAGAATATTATAAGTTTCTGTACATTGTAGGACTGAACACAAATGGGACTTGTAGAACATTATTAGTTTCTGTACATTGTAGGACTGAACACAAATGGGACTTGTAGAATATTATAAGTTTCTGTACATTGTAGGACTGAACACAAATGGGACTTGTAGAATATTATATGTGAAAATCTTTGTTATAGGCTACTATCTGTGGTACAAAAGGTGAAAAGATTCCTCTTCGGACATCCATTGACCTTGAACTTGACCTTCAAGCTTCACAGATGAAACTGAGCCATCTGGACGACGACATTCATCGCTTGAGAGAACTGACAGTCACCCTGGAGCAAGCCAAGGCAAAAGGTAAAAATAATACCGAACTTTTATCATGTACATATGTTATGTTGTTACAAACATTTATGAACTAGACTGAGACCAAAAGTTGAGAAGAAATTGAATCAGCCAACATCTGGTAATAAGTTAACCTGTATTTTGCTATTTAGTAGAATTATAATTTTTTATTGTCCTGTAGTAAACAGAATTATCAAGATTTTACTGCAGTGTTAAGGACCTATGTACACAGGATTAACTAGTTAGCTCACTTGGTTAAAAGGTTTGGTGAGCTTACGCCCCATCGCAGTGTTCAGGGTCCATCAACTTTACTATAATTGGTTCTAGTCTTGAATGAATAAAGTGATTTTCACCAAATTTAGTTAGAAATGTCTTAGGAGGAAGGGGAATCAAGTTTAAATAAATATTGGTTCTCGGCCCGAAGGTACCTGAAGGGTAGGGCCCAAAAGGGGAAATCTAGCAAGTTCTTTAACTTCCTTCTTATTCTGTAGATATGGTTAGATTTTGCCCAAATTTGGTCTGAAGCATTGTTGAGTGGAAGGGAATCACTTTTGTATAAACAAAAATCTCAACCATCTCGGGCAAGAGATATAAGGCAAAAAAGGGGACGTAGTGCAAATTCTTTAAATCCTACTCCTTCTACAGGAACGATTAGATTTTGCCCAAATGTCGTCTGAAGCATTGTTGAATGAATGGGAATCAAATTTTGTATCAGTGATGTTTAAGGATATTGTCCAAGGTTGGTCTGAAGTAATTTTCATGACTAGTGAATCTGAATTCAGTTTGACCACAAAGCTTGTACCCAAAAATAGGGAAATTAGATCTGAAATTATTTGTCATTTGAAATTCTTTATTAAATGGCTGAGTAGCTATGTTAACCATTTGAGCAATGCAGGCCCCTTTGGCCTCCTGTTATTGAAATAGATTCAGGACAATAATTGATATTTTAATTTTAACTTAAATTTATGTGAAAAATAAATTGAACATTAGTCAAAAAATGATTTCATGTTGGAAAAGTTCTGAGCTTTATCGTGTGAGAGAAGTTCTTTCAATTTTGTGTCAGAGGAGCTGTATGAATTTGAAAAAAAAAAAAAAGATAAATGTGATTGTATTTGATGAATACTATGAATTTGGTTGTGTAAGAGAATTTAAATTACTTAAATAAATAACTATTTGTTTTGAAGGAGAAACAGAACTTCCATCCTGGTTGACAGACGATGAACACTTCCAAAAACTACTGACAGATGCTGATAGAATGGTAAGTAACAAATAAACTTTGTCCTACTGTACACCAGGAGATCTTTCTCACGTAAATATCATAGTAAACATTGTAACTGTAAACTAGCACATATTTGTTAATGTAAATATGCTGTTTTATACGGTGGATACGACCAAAATGTCATGTGCTCTCCACTGTCCATAAACTTTTCTTTTAAGACTCCTTCTTAATTACTTGGTGGATTTCACTCCTGATTGGTCGGAGACGATATTAGGAAGGGACAATGATATATTAAATGTGCATGAAGCGATTTCAAGATTGTCCTGACTAAATCTGGTTTTTCAGTTTCATCAAAAATCCAACATATTTAATGTTAAGCAAAAAGTCTGACCTACTTCTCAAGTTTCATTTACACCAATGAAATAAATATTTGCAGTGTTTGATCAGTTAAGGAGAAGAAACAGGATATGTTGTTATATTTTAGCCTGGTCAAAACTTTCACGTGTAGCCAGAGTAACCATTTTGTAACATGATTGCATTACTGTTATCATGAACAAAACCTACTATTGATGAGTTTCTGATACTTTCTAGGAATGTTCAAAATTTGAATTCATCAGATTTGTCAGACCACCACCTGCAAATTCTGTGGTCTGTCTGTCCACCCATCGATTGTCAGATGACTGTTAGGGCCATGACCCTGTTGTATATATAAGTTCTTTTCTTGGTCCCAAGTTGTGCATTGTCTGATGTCGGGACTGACCCCAAAAAACATTAGCCAACTGGCATCCATCATGGGTTTTGATAGTAAACCGTTTGTTATTGCTATTCTTTAGAAATAATGAATCATTTATAAATTTTATATGTAGCATCCTTGTGGTCCTGAGTTGTGATCAGAGAAACAAAATGGCCAATAGATGTCCATTTTTACAGTAATGATTTGTTATTACTGTTTCTAGAGAAATACTGAACGGATCATTCTCCTCTTGGTCCCTAGTTGTATATTCAGATTGATTGACAGTGGCAATTTTTTTTGGTTATTTCTAACATAATGCTAGATGAATCTTTCCCAGATTTTATGCGTGGGTTCCCTTTGGTTTGACATTGTACCCTTATGGTCTTGCAAACTGATCACAAAAATAAAATGGTTAACTTGTATTTTGCCGATGAAAAATTTGCTATTTCTATTTCTTGAAAAGCGCCTCATGGATTTTTCTCATATTTCATATGTATGTTCCCTTTGGTCCCTCATTATGGCTTTTCAGTTCTGTGACTGATCAGAAACAAAATGGCAAATAAAAAAAATTAATAAGAAAATGGAAAAGATACTCTTCAAATAAGAAAAGTGAAAAGAAAGAATTTTGGCATTTACACTCCTTCATAGGATCAAGAGTAGATTGACATTGTACTTCTGTATTCGGGTTTGATATTCTGCTTCAGAAACGGGTTTCAAGCTTTTATGTATCATTGTAAATTTTATTACAGATATTGTATAGGCATCGGTCAGCACAAGAAGTAAGATATGGATTTTTTTTTAGATAAAAAGCATGTCGTTCTTATGTGAATGGTCTGCTAACCTTGTCTGTTAACCAAAAATACTAAATGGAAATCTGTCCAGAAGCTATTGTATTCCCAGCAGCTTCCATAATATAAATGTCATCATGGTATATTGTGCTCACATCTGGGCTATATGCTAAATTAACCTACATGGAACATTTTATATCAACTAGTTTTTAGTTCACCCAGCCAAAAGGGCTAATGGAGCTTTTGGCATACCATGGCACACATTGTCTGTACCTTCATACATATCACTGCTAGTCATGAATGACTGAGAGAGTTTTGACTCAATTTGGTCTGAGGCATCAAAGGGTGAAGGGGAATCAATTTTGTTAAATCAATATGAGGGCAGGGCCCAGGATGGGAATTGGAGCAAATCTTTAAATCCTATTCCTCCTATAGGAATAATTTAATTTTGCTCAAATTTGATCTGAAGCATCCTATGATGAAGAGGAATCAATTTTGTAAAAAGGGAGAGATGGGAAATGAAAGGGGAAGTAAAGTGAATTAATTCAAATTGTTCTTATTCTTAGGAATAATTGAAATTTATCTTTGTTTGGACTGAAACATCTATAGATGAAGGAAATTCAATATCGTATTGATAATACGTCATCTTCCCATGGGGCAGAGGGGCAGAGACTTATAGAAGATAGATATAAATCTTTGAAATGCTTTTCATATAGTTTAGGTGAAATAATTTCAACTAAACCAGCTGAGAGATATAGGCCCTGTGGGCCTCTTGTTATTACACAGCCATTTCTCAGATGAGTCCTATAGTGTTACCCTTACCTGTCAGTCCGTAATTTATCGTGATTTTGCTGAAACTCATTTACTTGTTATTAAAAGGACACAGATATATAACTGATCTGGTTCATGTCTATAGTTATGATGATATGCAGGTCAAGTATTGTTAAAGTTTTCTCTCTTTCTCAAAGCTACAGTCAGTTAACTTAGGAGTTAATAAAAAATTTTAGGGATGTCAATAGATATTCACATATTTAGATATTTGTTCAGTAGGCAGATATTTGATTGGGACAATGGTATTCAAATATTTAAATATTTGTTCAGTAGGCAGATATTTGATTGGGACAATGGTATTCAAATATTTAAATATTTGTTCAGTAGGCAGATATTTGATTGGGACAATGGTATTCAAATATTTAAATATTTGTTCAGTAGGCAGATATTTGAATGGGACAATTGTAATATATCAATTCGTGGAAGATCACTAAAATCAGTCTGTTCACTGTTGACGAATTTACAATTTTCATTTTGAAAAGAATTTTGTTAGCTAAACCATCAACTTAAGGTATTATTAGTGTTCAAAGTTGTATACTTGTACAATTCATCATGACACTAATAAGTCTTTCACCAGAGGGCCTGATGCCAGCCCTACCCAGGTAAGTTTTGCACTTTGTGATACAACAAAGATCAAAGCCATACCTGTAATATTGTCTTGAACATCAGTCTTAACTAATTGTCAGTCACTTCTGTTGGACATTTATGGAGGGATATATTTGTTTGGTGCATCACGTTGTTTAATTTCCATTAGAAATATTTCAAACTTAGTTAGAATTATGAGCAAGGTATAATGGCTAGATGGTATACACACATTTATCCTGACTGACCTCCAGGGGTTGATGAGTGGGGTCAAAAATTGGTGCAATTGACTTAAATTTCAAAAAACCTTTCAACACCTAGGCTTGGTAAAATCAAATGCTCTTCATGGATTGAAGCTTTTTAAGGTGCTTTAATTACCAAAATGGGTTTAACATTTCATCCGAGGGGGAAGGTTAACGTTTATTTCTGACAGGAAATAATTCTGTAAGAATTATTAACACAGAATGACAGTAGTGATGGTGTGCATGTATTGACACTGGCTTACTGCCATCAATGTCACAATTTCTTTATCATGCTACCTAAAAGCTACTTACCCTTTAACCTTTATATTCAATATTTCATATCTTGGGTGACTGTCAGGTCTGCTAGGCCTCTTGTTATATGTTACTGTCGTTATATTGGAAAAAAATAGAGTCACTGTAGGTACCATTCTGTTGTGTATTGGTAAAAAATGATTGTCACGCTGGGCCTAGTGTGTAACGACTGCCGCTTAGAGTGAAAATTGCATACCATATGGACTGACATGAAAACGAAGATTCAAATACTTAATCAGACAAATATTCTTATAATAATTTTGAGTTGACATCCCTAAAATTTTCATGAAAATGCTACAACCCAGGAGAGCCTTGTCTAACTCTTGTAGGAATCGGATAAGGAGCTGTAGGCTGGACTTCAGTTTCATTTCTTAAGTCATGACAGCTGTCAATAACACTTAACATTTCCCACATTCTCTTTCATTGCCATAAGAAGCATTATTTACACAATTGGATGAACAACTTAATTTTCACTAAAAAAGGCCTCTTTAAGAAAAAGAAAAGATTACTGGAGTTTTTTAGTCCAGTGTCACCAGATGTTGGGCTCAGATTCAAACTGTCCTGTGTCCATAGTGTCCATCGTGTCTTATCCATAGTCCATCAGCTGCTCCTCAGCTCTAGTTATCACCATCTCTTTGAGTTAAGGGCTGGATCATTCTTCTTCGTATCTCGTATGGTATGAGGGGAAAATTGGTGGGTGCCATGATCCCTCTATGTTCATGACTGCTTATTTATATATCTCGTCCTTAATTACCAGTATATGCCATAACAGTGATAATAATATTGTACAGGTGTGTGTACATATTTATATAGTGCAGGTGTATATATATATATATAGTGCAGGTGTATATATATATATCAACATAATTATACCTGTGATTATAATATAGTACAGGTGTATATATATGTATATATAATACAGGTGTAAATATATCAACATAATTATACCAGTGCTAATGATATTGTACAGGTGTAAATATATCAACATAATTATACCAGTGCTAATGATATTGTACAGGTGTAAATATATCAACATAATTATACCAGTGCTAATGATATTGTACAGGTGTAAATATATCAACATAATTATACCATTATGTGCAGGTGTATATATATATATATAGTACAGGTGTAAATATATCAACATAATTATACCTGTGATTATAATATAGTACAGGTGTATATATATATATATATATATAGTACAGGTGTAAATATATCAACATAATTATACCAGTGCTAATGATATTGTACAGGTGTAAATATATCAACATAATTATACCTGTGATTATGATATAATACAGGTGTATATATATATATCAACATAATTATACCTGTGATTATGATATAATACAGGTGTATATATATATAGCAACATAATTATACCTGTGATTATGATATAATACAGGTGTATATATATAAAAAAATGTATACCTGTGATTATGATATAATACAGGTGTATATATATCAACAAATTTATACCTGTGATTATGATATTGCATAGTTAAAGATACCACTATGGTTTTACTCACATTCTATCATATATTTTATAAGATAGACACATTTTTACCTTATTATGAGAAATTACATAATGGCAGTTTTGTGTCATCTTACAAAAGATATATTGATTCTGCTTTGCTAATATTTTGATCAGTTTTCTATGTAAATAAAATAGTGACATCTCTTTTTACAACTTAGAAAATCAAAACTGAACTAGCATATACAGTTTTCAGGCTTGTGAACCTTGGACAAGAACTTACGATTTTCACAAATTTCTTTAATTGTTAGTTGGAATAATAACATTTTCAGGTTAGGGTCATGATATGAGGAAATTAAATTGTTATGTGTTGAACATTGACATTATGGTTAGAGATCGCTAAAAATACTAGATGAAAGGCTATGTTAAAACACCAGACATATTGTTATTTTTTTCCTGGTAATACAGTGATAAGCTTTTTATCTTGTTCATGTATTTTGAATAAATCTGATCCTATTGAATCAAGGTAAGATCTCAAATATCGTTGGTAAGATTTCCTGAAATGAAAAGTCAAGACATCTAGGTTCCTGAATTTGGGCCTGTGGCATGCTGGGATGAAGGTCTACCAAGTTTGTTAAAACAAATGACCTTGACCAACTTTCAAGGTCACAGTCATAAAATGTGTTTAAGAGGGTTAAACTTTTACCTCAGTTTGTGTAGGAAAATGATTCTTTTAGCATCATTTGTTAATTACTGGGAAGGATAGATTGGTTAAATTTACTGAAATATTTTGTAACGAAGGTGACTGTTAAAGCCCAAGGGTCTCAAGTTATCTTTATGTGCATATATCAGCATAATGAGAAAAAAACAACTAGCATTGTTCATGAGGAAATATATATCTAGCTTGTGTACAATTACATCAGGTAATTCAAATCTGGAACCTTCAAATCAATGACATTACTTTATATGATGCACTGACCTTGCCTTAAGTGACCTATGTATTGACCTTTGGCATAAATTCTCATTGCATTAAGATGTGCAAAGGAAAAGCATACAATATTGATAATGAAATGTTAGCTCTGTAGTGTGTTATGAAATCTCATCTGCTTAACAAATTGATAAATGTAGTAGAGAATGGCTTGGGCTAGATCATTCCCTCTGGCTAAATATGTGCCATGCCATAATTTCATTTTATATCAAAAACAAACTTGAATTTTAACAGTGGTTGGGTTTCCTATGACAATCGGAAATACAAATTTATATGAAATGACAATATAAAGCAATTATCTTGAGTAGCAGATGGCAGTTTAGATGTGTAATCATGTCATGGTTAATCCCTTAATGCTATACTGTTGGACACAGAAAGAAATTTGGAGAGTGGACCTTGTAGTCATATACAGTCATGTGAAACACGTACACAGGTGGAAGGCATGGCATCCGTTCAGTAGATACAAGGGAAAAATAATATGAATATTAAGCGACTGGGATAAAAAGGAGTTTATGAAATAAGGGTTTGAGGAATCTGAAGGTCAATAACAAGGAAAATG